ATTATGTGTGAGCTACACCACGATACACTTCAGGTTTAGGCTCTGTACGATTTGGGTAAGATAACTTATAGTATGATAACTCTGAAGGCAAGTCCCAATTTGTTTCTCAAATGTATTGAGACTCAAAGCTCATGTTCTTATTTGCATGTTCTCAGGTTGCATTTCACCTTCACATATCTTATTGGATTTGAAGAAGAAATTAAAACAGACAAAACTAGATTGGCATTTCACTGCCAAGGCCAAAAAATCCTACACATGATTTTCTCATACTTATTATAGAAATAAATTAAAAAGAAAAAAAGGCAGTCGTCTGAAAACCTAAATTATTTATTTGTAAGAAAACATAGTCTGTTACTGTAATCTGTACATAATTCCCTTAGAACGTTAATGAAAAATGCAAAACAAAATGTTGCAATGTTTTTAAAAAGTTTAAACTCTTTGATCTGCCCATTGATTAGCATCCACAGCAAACTTTAATGGTTTCTTCTGAGGCCCCACCCCTTCACCAAGCTTGGTGGAAATCGGTCCAGTAGTTTTCTTCATAAAACCTGCTAAAGAAATCAAACAAAAAGGCCCGGCTGGAAACATAACCTCCCTGCTGGATATGACTAGATGTTTTGTTAAGAAATGTCATGAACTGTTCTGTTTGATGGTTAAGAGCATCTAAAGCACCTCAGGGCCTAGAAGCCGACAGAGCTGTGTTGTTGTATCAAGCTGAATGGAAGTTATTATTAAGGATGAGGCTGAGTTTAGCACCAATCTCTGTCTTTCTGCCTCAGGCTCAGCCCTAAAGCAAAGTGCAGATGTCATTGATTAAACTGCCTTTTAAAAACACACAACTACTGAATTAGTTCTAAAAAAATAAGTGACTTGAGTATTTGTACACTACGTCTTTGATGCTGTTGTTTTAGCCTGAAGACGTCATGACGCCAGGAAGGCATTGAATCATCGGACTCACATGACACCTCGACCTAGCTGGTTTATATTGTTCTATAGACATAATAGACATATCAAATAACAGCAGTGGGTGTGCTCCAGTATAATACCGATATTCCCAGTTATAAATACTTCACATTTTAAGTATTTTTAAGTAACTGCACACATCATAGGCTCTATAATTCCCACTTTGATTTTGTCATCTAAACAGCTTTGCATGAACAATATTGTTAATTAGTCTGATTGAAGTGGTCTTTATATTCAAAACCAGGGCCTGCAACAAATTGTTTCACTATTGCTTAAACTACTGATTGTTTTCTTGATTAATCGATTAGTTGTTTTGTCTGTAAAATGTCAGATAATAATAAAAAATTCCCATCACAGTTCCTCACAATCCAAGGTCATGAATCAGAAATCTGACGATATTCAGTTTATAGTTATGTAAAAGAGTCAACCCAGTGAGAACTCTGACATTTGGAAGAAGCATTTGGCGTTTTGTTTCCTGGGAAAATCACTATAGTTATCAGAAATTTATACTGATAGTAGTTAGCAACCAATCGAATCTGAATAGTTAAGGTAGGTATGTTTTTGTCATATGGCTGTCATATTCTATTCATATGTGTTTGTGTGTTACGGATTCTGTTTTCTGATGCTCATATCTGATTTTATTTTTCATATAATTGAATAAGACTTTGTCTCTCTTTGGCTACATAGGTCAAGTTGTTTGTACGGTACCTGCTGCCTCGGTGGTATGAGTTACTCCATCGGCTTTTTAAGATTCTGCAAACAGGTGAGCTTCAATCATCCCCTTATCTATGCTCTTGAGATGCTGTTTTCCACCACTGTAATACATTTACACACTTTGGAAAACAAGAATACGTTTTAAAAAAAAAAAAAAAATCAATATTCTTAAATTACCATTCTGCCCAGATCGCCAGGTTGCTGAAAAATGACAACAGTTACAATTGGCTGCATGCTTTCCAGAGGAAAAAGAAAAAGCATCAAAGCAATTGAGGCCAGGTGAAAGCAGCTTGATAGAATACATAAAGAAATTATACGATCCGTCAGTGCAGAGCTCTCACCCACTGTGTTGGGATGCAGCACAAGCTCCCAGTCTAATGCTGATGTAAATTGGAACTGAGGGTTGTGTCTTCAAATCACAACACATGGTGAAATTAACTTTTTTATTTGTGGCAAATGATAAACACAAAAATGAGAAGTTTCCTCTGGTGGCTTTTATACAAGGAGTTTAAAGAATATTTCAAGTCCAAAGCAATCAGGTGAGGGGTGCCGTCTGGGTAGAGTATGAAGGCAAGACAGGGCATTTTAATTCTGCTGCGGAAATTACGTCTTTGTGTTTGCAGTGAATCGACACAGGCGGTGGGTCTTATCACCAAAAGCTCAGTTGTCGTTGTCTTTATAAGTTGGTGCCATCTTCTTCTTGTGTGGCCTCTTTTTTTGTCCTGATATTTTTGTATTCTTTTTTTAATTTGATTTTTGTTTTTTTGTTTTGTGCCAGTTGCATGTTAGAGTGTGAGAAACTTCATCACATCCACTCGCTCGTGGTCAATCCTTCCGACAATATCCTGCTGTGTTCTCGCATGGGCACACTTAGACCTTCTCTGTAGTTTTTCACACTAGATCTTTACAATTATCTAAAACTGCCTTTTTGTGGACTCTATGATGTGGAACTGGAGGTTAAGTGGCAAGGCGTATCACTGACTTAATGGCTCAACCTAACTGTGATTGCTGGAAAAAAGGTTCAGAAATCAGTATGTGGAACACTTCAGAAGTTATTAAATGCTGTTTTAATAACACCCATGATGTGAAGTTAACTGGATCTGAAATAACGATTAACTGCTGTCATACTGATTTATTCTAAATTGATTACTCCGTTATATCGCATGTTGTTGTGGCTTAGAGTTAAATACCACAGTTTGCTCTTAGGGAAAAAGGTCAGGTGAGGTGAGTTCTCATCCTAGACTTAGGTGAAATATATATATATAATATAATATAATATATAACAGCTCATCACAGTCCAATACTTAACAGTTATGACAGAGCACAAGATCTGAAAAAACGTTGATCCTTTTTTTTGAAAGGTAAAAAAAACCATAAAAATTCTTTGCACATTTTGGTGAAGGTTAAGCATGTACTTGAAAGAGTGGTTAACAAATAAATCGGTAATATGGAAAAGCAGCTTAGAGCTCTTAAATCGTATTGTAGGACACTGTCCAGCCTTATTTTCCGGAAACTGGACACAAGTTTAATCCTGTGGACACGAGGGGCAGCTGCTTGTGACGGCCAATGGGGATTCAAAAGATATCAATGCATAAGCAACAACGACAGCTGAGCCTGTATTATACATTAAAACATTAGAGCACATACAATATATAATTAGAAGAAGAATAAGGATACAGAATCAGCAGGTGGAGCTTTACTTTAAACTAAATCCAATTACAAGAACTCATCTATTTAAAAAACTCCTTTGAATCCTCATCGATATCAAACAACTGCATTGATGCTAAAACTATAGAAACGTATTTAACAATACAATCATTTTTTATTAGTCCCATGTTTTTGATTTTTTTGTGACTGACTAGATTTTGTTGGAGCACCTGTCTAGGTTTTTTCAAGGATACTCTTATTTTATTATGTTTTCTTTCCTAAAATAGACTGCAATAGGAAGCAGTTGATATTGAAAAATATCTATTCAGTTTCTGGTGTGCAGTAGAGACAGCATCGCAGAGCCAGGGAGAAGAACAACGGCACAGTTAAAAAAATGGACTTGTACAGTACATGGATTCATTAAACTGTTTTCAGTTTTTCAGGGTAATACACAAAGTGGATGGGTGATGCTGTTGATTATAAACGTAGTTCTCTCAGTAGTTGCTACCAGTGAACCATAACAGTAAACTCCCAAGTGAAATTAAACAGATAGAAAATGCATTGGGTCATATCAAGCTGCGAATTCTAAATATTATTGTGGGACATTAGTATTGTCGTGGAAAATATCAGTAGGTTGTTAACAAGAAATGAAAAAGGTCAGATGCAATGAATCTAACAGATTTACACATTATTCCAGACTAAAAGAACTCTCTCATGCACTGGTTTATGGCAGCATCATGTTTGACAAACACAGGATCAACATATTAACATATCCTCTTATCTTACACGTGTATAATGCAGCGTTCACTGACACTCGCATGTAGCTCACTAAGAAAGTTCATTTCTTGGTTTCAATGAGTCTGCGCGCATGGGTGCAGTAAATTAATTTGAGGCAGTAACCCCGGTTGGTTTTTAATTCACTTGGATTATGAACATGCATTGTGTTTGGAATATCAAGCATGGAGGAAGTATCATGCTAAATTATTTGCTTTGGGGTTATTCACAGTGACAAGACCGGAATCAAAACAGGCTAAGACTGCCAGAACTCAGAACTTCAAAGTGAATCAGTTCTGGACTGGATTGTTCTTGTCATTTTGTAAAGCTCACCACTGACTTCAGCCTAACAAAAAAAACCTCCCTCAGGCACATCTACCCCAACACTACTCCCTTACAAGATGTAAGTGGTGCAGTGAGTAGGACTCATACTGAGGGTGTATGTGTACACACAAACTTGAATTGTAACAACGTAAGCTCGCACACAATTGCAGGTAATGTTCTCTTTCATTAATCACTGTCAAACTGGAAATGTGTGTGCATGGATCATCCTCATATCACACCCTTTACATGCCAACATTCAACCACAATTGGTCAATGCAAAGCACTTAATGAATGAGCCTGCTGATTAGGGAGGGTCGATGTGACTTCAAATCAATATCATGATGATATCAAACTTTTACCTTGATTATGATTAATGAACGATTATTTTATGCCACCCTATCGTGATCTTCAGCTTTTCTCTTCCTGCTCATGCTGCCTCTCTGCAAGCGGGAAATGTCTACTCTTTACTTTTGCTCTCAGATGTTATTTTTTTTGCAACAAGTTGAAATTCGCCAACCAATAGAATGATCTGGATGTAGTGATGATAAAGCAAAGTGCCCCGCCCTATTTTGGTTACTTTTACTACTGGTACTCAATACTGGTACTCTGTACTGGTACTCCTTAATTGTGTCACTCCATGTTGACCAGGGATCTGCTGACTGCTGCTCAAAGAAGGTATCATTGTTTTTCTTCAAACACAGAGGTGTAAGGTGTGTGTGAAGGGCGGGACCTCGGGAATCACTGTATGGGACTCTCAAAGAAATAAAGCTCACACACACACACACACACACACACACACACACACACACACACACACTTCGGGGCACAACTTCACTTGTCAACACTACAGCTTCTATTAGTTGGGGAATTCAGACCAAGAGGAGAAGAAAAAGTCGGAGCAGAACAAAAATCCAAGAGCAGACGTTTTTTTTTACGTGGGCACAGAAGCAGTGTGAGCGTGTGGAGAGGAGCTGGAGTGCAGGAAATCAAAGCACAAGCAGGGTATATTTGAATCGAATGCAGTGCTGAACATGAAATCCTGCTCTCAAACTGAAAGACCATATATTATATTATTTTACTTTATAGACAGACTACCTGAAGTGACCTTAGTCGAGGTGAATAGGAGTCTGTACATTCACACTTAAAATTGGGTAAAGACGAGCCAGACATCCCTGAAGCCTGCCATCTGCCACATTCTGGCATCATCCTACATTTCAAACAGCTGTAGTGGCTCCTCAGCTGACCACCAGTGACAGTCGCAGCACAGTTCATCCCTCTCCTCTGCTCTCCGAGGTTTGGGGAAAGTGATGGTGAAACAGTGCTGATGAAATGTTGAGCAGAATTCAGTTTGAGATGCAAGTTGTTTTATATCTTTTATATAACGTTGTATGGCTCATTGGCAAAAGCACAAGTAACACTGCTGGTTTGATTTGTTTTTGATAAAGAGGATCCGCGCGGAATGTGCGATATGAATCGAAATTAAATGTGTGTGAAGAATCATTGTATGTATAATGATACCAATCACATTTAATTTCCATTCATTTTACCATCTCACCATCTGGATCGCCAATTTCCCCTGTCTCCAAAATGTTCGTATGCATGGGTCAGAGTTTCCGCACAGGGCCGCACGTTCTCCCATCAAGCGTGTTTTTATGGGTTTCAACTTCTGCGTGGGAAGTGGTGTATATGCCTCTTTCAGGCCCTGTTTTGTGTTTATGCAGCCGTTAAATGAGGCCCTTGGTCTGTTGCTTTCAAGTACTGCAACAGTGATGGGAGTTCAGAGCAGTTTCTGTCAAATTGGTTGGCTCAGGCTTCAATACACCAGTCAGCAGGCACATGTCCTCCAGTCCCCATCCAATCAGCGTTAAGACATCAGTGTCACATCACTTACTTTTTAGGATTTGAACAAGCAAATTTGATCAAATAAGATTTTAGGTTACGCAATTTATGTCATTTAATAGTTTGACATTTTAGGAATTGCACCAAATGGCTCTTTTGCTCAGAGTTGCTATACATCCTGGGAAAAGGGGAAACTGCTGCTCTGGCTTGAAACAAATACCCAACTATCAGCTCTTCTAAAGCTCACTGATTAACAATGATCAGGTTATTATCTCATTTGCTGAATCTGTACAAACACAAATTCCTGTTGTATGAGGTTTTAATGGCAGGACTATTTCTTGGCTCTAAGCCGTTGCCAGGTAACTGCGGAGACTCCAGCTGTTAATCCAACACATAACTATCCATAAAGCAGTGAATCGTCATATTTGCACATAAAGTTAAAAACATGTTGAAGTGGCATTTAATGCTGATGATGGGATGTTTTTCTTTTTCAGCTATGGACAGAGTCAGGCTAGTTCCAGTCTTAACAAACCTGGCTACAGTTCATAGACTGGATATAAAGATGGACATGACTTTGTCCATTGTACATGCTATAATTCTGTTTAACCAACAGATATGACTGCATCTGTCATATACCACATTTTATCTAACTTCCTGTTAGAAAGCAATTTATCATATTTCTTATAATGTCAAACCCCTCCTTTAAATTGTAGCCATAGCATGAAAAAGAGATAACGGACAGAAGCAGAGATGTCTCTGTTTTAGGTCCTAAGTCAAGTGGAAGTACTCAATGGGTCAAACTTTATTTGTTTGCCTGAGTTTGCGAATATATTGTGTCGTGGGATTAAAAAAACCTCAAACGCAAAGCCGGGGTGAGAAACAGCCACTGGTTGGGTTAAAGGGATCAGGACACCTGCTTGTTTTCAATAAGCAGGTGCTATTCCATCTTATTAGATGTACAGACTGAATCTAACGCCCTCCTTCACCCTCCAACCTCCTCCTCTGACATGGTGTCCTCTCTTGTATGGGTGTCTCACTCTGAATTGCAATGTATTCCCCAGGCGACGCTTCAGTTCTGCGTTGTCAAACCCATCATGGCCGTCATCACCATCATCCTGCAGGCCTTTGGCAAATACCACGATGGAGATTTTAGGTGAGCAGCAGCACTCTTTGCATTTCACTCGTATCTTGTACATTCATGCCAACGCCAACAGGCTTGTTTGCTATTTATGTGCAGATGGAGATAATTATATTACCACCTCACAACAGCCATGATTTCATTTCAAGTGGGTTCAAACTTTCCAGGTGCCCAGCAATGTCACCACTGTAATCACAGAGCCATGGTTGTTGTCGGTATTGCAAAACATAATTCAGTTTGAGTTTGTGTAATATGGACTAAATAGATTAGATTCTTATAGTTTTCTCGAAATGTCCTGAAATGAAGCCCCTAACTCGTATTGTATGTTACACTCTGTGGGGCATGGTGTTATTAAGTGAGATGTATTTTTTCATTTCATACTTTGGCTTTGGATTTCAAGTGATGCAAAAGGCGAGGGATAAATTGTAGAGTGACACATTTAATTTTAGAGAATTTCAGGGCTTCAGCTCAGTCAGTAAGCGTCTCAATAGAATACAGTGAGATGAGTAATATATTCAATGAAATTGTCTTTAGTGTGTAATCACAGTTATAAGATCTGAAGCCCATAAACTCTGTCTGATTTCTCTTCAGCTCTTAGTTCAGTATCTGAAGATTCAGCTGTGGCAACATTTGTTTTTAAACTACTCAGGAAAAGCACAGAGTTTAACTAAGGGCTTGAGACAGAAGTTTGCAATCCACTTTATTTTGTTGACTTCTTACTGCGGAGCTGAAGCATAGGCGTTATTAAATCCTTACTGTTCATCTCTCTATTTACTTTAGCAACTAAAGTAGCAGGGAGATTTAAAAAAATAGTCTTGGTTCATTTCTTATTTTTTAAGCTCTATAGTGAATCTCTGATGATTCACAGATTGTTTACTTATATACTTTCATCCAAGCATCTGCGTTCTATTCTGCTTGGGAGTAATTAATGTAGTCTCAGCTGTGTCCTCAGAGAGACTCTCCAGAATGCAAAGAGGCTAGAAAAGCAGACTGACAATAAAATATAGACAAATCCTGTTTATCAGATGCATCCTGAGCTAAGAAGGAGACATACACAGAGCCTTTATTAGCTGCTTGTTCATGACAAGAAGACTGTATTTCCTTCTGTCCATGAAATATAAGACGACATGTCTCTTTCATTCAGTCCAATGTGATAAATGCTGTCGAAACATGAAGAAATTGTTGTCTGCTGTCAAAAAGCAATAAAATGTCAAATAGTTCTTAATTTTCCACACATGTGACTCCTGCTCTGTTTCTGTGCAGTGTGACTGGAGGATACCTGTATATCACAATCATCTACAACTTCTCAGTCAGCCTGTCCCTCTACGCTCTGTTCCTCTTCTTCTTCGCAACAAGCGACCTGCTCAGGCCTTACGAACCGGTGCTCAAATTCCTCACAATTAAATCTGTCATCTTCTTATCCTTCTGGCAAGGTAAGTCCCCTCCTCCACTTTTTCTTTGTTTCTTTTGTAACATCGGTTGATAACGATGTTGCTACTTTTGCAGGAATGGTCCTTGCGATCCTGGAGCGCTGTGGCGTCATCCCTAACGCGCTCGTCATCGATGGAGAAGAGGTCGGCGCGGGTACAGTGGCAGCAGGCTGGCAGAACTTCATCATCTGCATCGAAATGTTCTTTGCCGCCATTGCCCTCCGATACGCCTTCACCTGCACCGTGTATCAGGAGAAAAAAAATGAAGTGCCAGGTGAGCGCTGAACTCAACATTGCCATCAGAATAAGGATTGACACAGTTGAAAGTTTTAGCAGCAACACTATCTGCATTGCTCGGTGTCATTTGCAGCCTTTTACACTAGACAGGCTAATGACCTGACAAAGGAGAATATATTTTCATCTAAGTTTGTTAGTTAGTTAGTATGTTTACGCAAAAAACTACTAGAAAATTTACCATTGAACTTGGTGGAAGGATGTGGTATGGAATAGAGAAAGATGCATTAAATTGTTGATGCAGATCCAAAACATATTTTAATGTCTCAGATAATTATTCATAGAATTTATTTAAGACATGTTAAGAGAGGCTGGTATTTTTTAATGTGTGCAATTTGGTGAAGATTCAAACAAAAGTCTGGATCTAGTGGATTTAATGTGATTTCATTCAGGGACTGTTGGGCCTTAGTGGAGGTATTGCCTCTACTTAGTACAATTCTAGTTTTTTAAGCGATCATTTAATCCTACTTTTTAACTAATAATCAAGCTGTAATGTCTGCATATTTGCAAATTTGCACTCAGATGCAGTGCTGTAGTGTCAGTTTGGTTGAAACTCAGCAGGGGTAGATATTCAGCTCTAGGGAATACACAGTCACTCATGGCTCAGAGGACAGATGCCATTAAAGAAAGGAAGATGAAGAGGAATTCAAAGTACATTACCGTAACTAGCAGGGAGCGCAGGGCGACCCTCTGACGTCAATACCGCATGCAAGGAAAAGACAGATGGAATCCGAGGGAAAAGCCCTACACGGTGATATCAATCATTTTGCCTTTTTTTACTGCTACAAGAAACCATTCATCCCCTTGAGCTGCTTCAACTGCAGAACCACTGGAAGTGATAATGAAAACTTTCTTTATCAGCTTGATGTTTTTTTAATCAAAGTAAAAATCAAAGAAGGAAATGACAAAAACATATATGGTCATTCGTCCTGCTTACAAAAAATCCATTGTTCATTTTATCATCCAGTAAAATTATAATAATAATAATAACAACAACATTGCTCCACAGTGTGATTGTTTTATTGCTTCAGGCATCCTGTTCCCTCCAAAAACAAAAAACTTTTTGACAAAAATTATCAGTGCAGTTCCACCTCCACCCCTGGGTGCCGATGTATGTGTTTGCAGAACACCTCTGGTTTACTGATCCTCTGCTGCAGCGGTGTAAACCAGGAAGACAGACAATAAGGAGAAACCCAGCAGACCATGCCTAACTGCTTTATACCCCCACCCCACCTTTCCCTTCTCTTTGCCGCCTCCAATCCTGAGCAGACCGCACTGCCAGTGACCCTGAAACAGAAGAGCTGTGGATATCTGCTGGCTCGCTCCTCTTTAGACACCCTCTTAGTTCTGGGGGAAATTCAACCTGGCTCACAGCTGGATGCTGAGGGAGCATGAATGGAGACAGTTGCTGTGACTGAGTTCAGTCCATTCATAAATTGCAGCATTTGAAAAGGCCACGATGAAAAAAATTAATCTTTCAGTGATTTTTTTTTCTTCTATCCATTTGTATTCTTTGTGTGTTTTGCTCTGGATTGTTCAGATCAGTGGCGCTTAAATGCTTAGTTTTAGTTATGAATTACTTTTTTTGTAACGGATTAATGATTAAAGGCCCTGAAACCTCCACCCACTCATAAACCAGTATGCTGTCAGGAAATAATAGCATTTTAGTTTGATCTTCAAGAAGGAACATCACCATTTTTACCCACCCGTCATAGTTTCATTGACATATTACAGGGCTAAGGCTGCAATATCACCGCCACATGCATTGTTGTGTGACTAACTACCTCCCCCTGTCGCTGTACCTGCAGAGAACATCCCCCAGATGCAGAGCATCTCCAGTGGCCTGAAGGAGACCATAAACCCCGGAGACATGGTGCAGGATGCCATCCACAACTTCTCGCCTGCTTACCAGCAGTACACCCAGCAGTCCACACAGGAGGTGGTCCAGCCCAGCACAAACGGAAAAGTGGTCACGGGCAACATGAGCTCCCGCAAGTCTGACAAAATCATGCTGATTACCTCCGATGATGAATTCTAGGCAGTTTCTGAGCAAGATCCAGGTGTTTGTGTCCTTGCCACCCGTATCTCCGACCCCCTGGGGAAACAGCTGTATCACATATTGCACCGAGCTGGATTGAACCCAGGTGTTTCATTTTCATTTCCCCAGTATTTAAGATGGACCTCTTACGTCTTTCGTGTTTCAATGAATATTTTAAGCACCAAGAGGATGATGAAAATTGATAAAGGTTTTTAAATTAGCTCAATGACCAGAAAACTGATTACTGCCACAATCTCTGCAGTAATCATCACAGGAAAACAACACAGCACCTCCACCCTATCAGCAAAGTGTGGAGCTGTACATTTTCTTTAAATCGAGCTGCTGTAGTGCTCAGCGGTGTCTCTGATCCTCATTCTTTTTCTGTCATTATGTCAGCACTTGCAGTCGCCCTCTGGCTGTCTGAAGCACCTTCCCTCTGATTCATGTTAGTTTCAAAGAGGAGGTGATTAATACTGTGTGCAACTCCATGTGGGATGCAGGGAAGCCAGCGACACTTCATGGACTCTCCTGCATCTGTTTGTTTCAAGTATTTGCTAAGCATTCCTCTCCGCCTGGTTTCCTGACAAACAGAGGGAATCGATTCAAAGACACATTTGCTCTGGAGCAGGCTTGTCAAACCGCTGATGTAGACAAATTGGATAAACCTGTCTCCTACCCAAGTGGGAGTTGTATTATTCTCATTAATTTTCCCAGCGCGCTAAAGAGCGTAATTCAGTGCATCTAGACATCCGCTCAGCAGACGTTAACAACTGGTCTTCTACACTATATGTAAAAGAGCCTTTTTGAGTTTTATACGTTAACACAACTATACATGTTCTCAATCAGGGTTTTATGAAATATGTACAGAATTTGATTGTTGTAAATGTTAGTGTTTTAATATGTTTTAATTGTGTAAAAAGTTATTTAATGTGTGCAGTTCAGGCATAGTCGGACCAAACCAAAATCCGTACTTTCGGAGACTTGTGGCAGTTTCTTCTCCCATTTTTTCAGTGGGAGATATTCTTATACTGTAGCTTTCTAAGTGCATTAGTTGAGACTGGATTTGTATAGCGAGTCTTAGTTTGATACTCTCTTGTGCCAATGATGGCTGTCTTTCTGGGAAAGCAGAAATTGATTAACAGTTAAAAACAAGAATAAATTGTTGTGACCAATGTCTGTTTGGCATTTGCTAAATAAATGTTTTCTTCTATAACTCACATATGTTGGATCGAGCAATCATGCACTTTTAGATGAGGAAAAAAGCTTTATTTGAAGGTACAAAAACAGACACAGCAGATCTATTTATAGGAATAATTTACCATACTTAAAATCAGAGCAGGAACAAATACAGATTTCATTTGTACATGAGGGTAGTTCATTGAGAAAACATGTAAATAAATGAATGTAAAATAATTTAGGTGTTTTTTGTTTTAATTACACAAATTAATGAAATAAATATAAAAAAATATGAGCAGAATAATGACAAGTTGTGAAGGGAACATACTCATGGACGTGCTGCCTTGTTACGATCCTTCTAACAGTCACTCATTGAGCCTCAGTGTGTTGCCATGAGACCAAAACAAAAAAATCTTTTAAGTACAAACTAAACATAGGAACTGCTGCTGTTGAATTAACATTCAATGAATTGTATCCATTATTTCACCCACAACCATGTAATCCATACACAAACATTCCTACAACCATGGAGCTCTTTTTTCTGACTGAATTTATAGGCACATATAAATCTCTTGAATCTACAGTAATAAATCTTGACTCTCTACACGGGCGAAGTCAAACACTGTAGCTTGTAGGGCTGGCAAAGCTTGTGTGTGAAAGCTTATTTAAGCAAAGAAAGGTTTGCAGGAAGAAATTTTAATCTCATCATCTTGAACACCTATGGTCAAGATGAGCCACCTCGTTTGTGTACATACAATTGCCATTGTCCTGGTTCATATATATATAAAATAAAATAAAATAACAGTTGATACCTTTAACAGTTCTATTACAGCTCCAAGCTTCAACTGCTCGGATCACTTTTAGGAAACATCCATGGTAGGTGATGTTTTGTGCCTCTTTTCACCCATAAAATATTCATATCTGCATAATGCTCCCTAAAGTGATTTTAAAAAAAAAAGAAGTTGCAGCATTTATTGTTTTATCGTATAATGTGACATTATTGCGTCTAGCAAGTGTTGTTGCTTGTGGTAAAATAACACTGCAGCATTGTGTGTTTCAGAGCATGAGTGGACCTCAACTGGGTCACTCTGGATGGATGTTTAAAACTGAGGTTTGTCTTCTCACATGGCACAGTAAAGAAATATATATATAGTTATATCTATATATATATATACACTCTGCTACCAAAAGATTATTCACATGATCCGAATACAGTAATGACTGAAAATTATGCCTCATTCAACAGCATTCGGTTTTGAAGAGGTCATTTTAATGTTCTCAGAAATTGCTTTGAGCAGTATTTTTTTGCAATGTGCTGAAAAATGAGTTGTGTAAACAAACATGTGTCTTTAAATTCCTCAATGACCTTCAACTTTAGCAGCTTTGCAATTTTAATTTCAGGTAAAGTCATTTTCATTTAAAACTGTCGACAAAATCAATTATGTTTAGAATAGGATACGACGTCTGTGTTACAATACAGAGTCCACAAAGGTTTTTTATATATGTTAACCCTCTATTTTAGGAACACAAATAATTAAATATTCTCCATTTTATTGTGCTTTTCTTTTGAAATATTTCCTCCGCTGAGGACATTATGTTTACGTTTATGTTTGTGTGTCTGTGTTACTGCAAAAACTACTGGAGGCACGACCATGAAACTTGATGGGAGGATCCAGTATGGGTCAGGAAAGCAAATATTCAATTGTAGATCCAGATCAGGGGGCGGATTCAGGTTTTTCTTTAACATTTTTGATAATTTCTCAGAGAATAATTCATGGATCTTGATGAAAAAAAAAGATCTGACATGTTGAGGGAACCGATATTTATGAGTGTGTGTAATTTGGTGCAGATTCACATAAAAATCTGCATCTAGTTTATTTAAATGTGGTTCCCTAAGGGGACTGGTGGAAGTTTGCACTCTAGTGCCCTTTTGTTGAAATTGATTTCTATATCTGAGATAATTGATATCTGTGCTAAAGAGCACATGTTTGGTATAAATTTCCATCCAAATGATCCAGACTTAATGTAAAATATGTGAATTCCTTTGCATAGATAGTTTGACTTGTAACCTCTCACTTAATTCAATTATAATCTGTATTGCCTGTTGTTTCACTCCAATATTATGAAGGATTTATAAGTTATGGTGTTAAATATGACATATGTGCTCTTCACTGACAGTGTGAACCAGCAGTCAGAAATATAGTTTCTGTTTTTAAACGTTAGAGATAATGAACTGCATCCTATTTGTAACCATAGTCACCGTCCGTAGTCCCAAATATTAATTGTGCTGAGAAGAGCTATTCATGGGCTATAAATACTCACAAAGAAGGCTTAAGTTATGAGAATAGTTTTCTCATTGTAAATGTGAATACATCTTTTCTTTCAGAAAAAAAGGTCAGCATCATAATTAGACTTTAAAGAATGATTACATAATCACACCACTCCCAGGATAGTAAAAGACATAAATATAGAAAAATATGTATATATATATATATATATGTATATTTATATTTATAATATACTGTATATGCATATAAAACGAAGTATCAGAAAGGGGACATAAGTTGCATCAACATAGAAACCAAGTGAAAATACAAAATGAGAGTAAGAACACAGCAATGCCCCTGCTTCAAAATCACAGCAGGTTGTACAGCAGCAAAGTTCCCCGTACTGTTCTTTGCAGCTATGGAACAGGGGAAGAACAGTCATGTCCTCTTAGCCAAGAGAAAATCCTGACATGAAAAATCTCTATTCACTTCACTCCAAATTAGGAATGGATCCTCGGTAAGAACGGCTTGATTTCAAGTGATAATCATATTTTAAATATCTCAAAACGTACAACAGGAGGAAGGTGTTAATAACCACGTTTTTTGTTGTTTGTTTTTATTTTAGTTGCCGTGACACCACTGTTTCTAGAGATGGGCGTCAGGAGTTCTCTTGCAGAAGAGTGTGTCAAAAGCAAAGTAAATAGCTACTGTTTCAGAGTGACCAACACCGGCAGCAGCACTTCTCGTGACCCAGCGGTAGGAATGATTTGTATTTGGACGGAGTTCTTAGCGCGACGTAATGACGGAGGCAGTGGGAGTTTTGTGTTGTCTGTAAATCTGTAATATACAGGAAGTGACCCTGATTGCATTTCACTCATCAGAACCGCTCTCATTACATTATATCCAATATGGATTACCTACCAAAGAGTGGCATATAAAGGAAAGAGGCAGAACCTCCCCCAGTAAGTGCTGTTGCATACAGAGTAAACCATCCTTAGCTACATAAGGCTTGACCTTGCAATAAGTGGTCAAACCACATTTAATCATTGTGCACTTAAAGCCTCAGTAACTTAAGAAATGCAAGAAGAGCTTCTATCTGTCATGGTCTCAAATTCTCTGGGATCAGTTTCTATGCGAATTGTTTATACTGCATCTTAACAGTTTCCCTATAAGTGCTATATAATGATTGAAACTGGGCGAGTGTGAAAACCCACCACATCCAAAGAAATCTGGCCCAAAATGATCCGTAATCACTTTTCAATTTTTCGAGTCGACGTGTTCAGCTAAATAGAGTTTAAAATCTGTTCAACTCGATGCGTTTCAAATAATCAAAAGTAGAAATTTCTTGAGTCGATCGGGGGACTGTAAAGATACAAATTGAATCTGACACAGGCTCCAAAGATTTCAACAACACAGCTCACTGTGAGAAAACACTTTTCAGCCCCACTGACAGATTCAACAATTTCTGAACCAAAACACTGGCACGAGTCGAGCGTTTGGCCGATGAGCTATAATGACAGCAAATTAAAATGAATCTGATTTGTTGCTTTGAGATGCCTGACACAGACACCCTGCAGATGAGAGAGAAATGTTTGGGTTTGTCAACTTTTGGTCAGTAGCCAGTCAGTTGACAAAAAGGGGAGTCGGTATATTTGCATTCAAATTTTGGTCTAATGTTGGAGTTTTGAAGTTTTCCAGCAAATTCAAAATGTCATTTTTGAACCCCAAAATGCGTTTGCAGCATGACTTTTCCTGGAAGGTGCTGACTTAGCTTCTAAATCATTAAAAATATTTAGCATGACTCATCATGTTAAAAAAACACATGTTGAAAGGAGCCCATTGGCCAAACATTGGTCAGTCATCAGTTGCTTAGTGCAAATTCTCCCAACAACCCATCGAGAGCCTTTCCCTCCAACCAAACTGTCCACCCCCCAGAACATATCTGGGGAAGCGTATGGTTCTGTGGCTCTTGGAGGCTGGAGATCACTGGTAATGTGGCTATGGAGAGATGTTAAACTACATGTGAGATCAATCATGGATCCTTTTTAAGGTAACAGCTTCGGCGGCTGAGGCACTTTTGCGAAAATATCATTTGGAAAAGGCTTTGCCGTCACATATGCACGCAACTCGAATCTCTTGTGTTCTATGCTTAATGGCAATAGGTTTCTGAGGTGTCCTAGGCCAGTGCTGCCACATTAAGGCATGTCAAACAAATCTCTGCCATCAGTCAGGGACGAGGGGTCATCACAGAGGCCCATTACCCTGCCGGTGCTGGGGGGGGGGGGGTCTGGGAGTGGGGGTTTGCACAGTGCACAGACAACATAGATTGTGTAAATCAGACGGAAGGAGGAAAACGAAGACGGTGAATTCAGAATGACATCACATGGAGGTTGCCACCCCAGCCCATCCCTCAGTCTAACTACTGAGCGTCCTCTCAGTACAGGATGAGTGGGTTCAGGCAGGGTCAGAACCGGGAAGGACCAGGCAGGACGAGGAGAGCCCAGTCCTGTCGACATTAGGACGGAGTCGAGAACGGGGTCGGGCTGGAGTTGTTGTGTTTGTTGGCTGACTTGACGATGGTGATGACGCTGGTGGTGGCCACCTTGCCCGGCGAGAGGGGCCCTCGGGTCACAGTTCGGGCAAAACACTGCAGGGCCTCGTATTTGGCTCGCAGGGCGTCCAGCTCCAGCCTCATGCTGGCGTTCTCTCGGGCCAGCTTGTCCACCTCATGCTGCAGCTCTATCTTCTGCCGTTCCAGCTCCTCCTTCTGGGTGACACGTTTGATGCGACAGCTGGCAGCGTAGCCCCGGTTCTTCAGGGTCCGCCGCCGCTGCTTCAACCGCACGACGTCCTCCTTGGTCAGCCCACGCAGGTGCTGGTTGAGCTCCCGCACGGACATGGCCACCAGCTCATCATCGCTGAGTGCTGGGGCATTCTCACCCGCCTCCTTCTTGACCTGCAGGACACGAGCAGTGGGTGAGGAACAGGAGCACATGTTGGATGTGAGTCAAGTCCAACGAAACACTTCCCACACTTCTCTCACTTACCTTTAAAGCTTTGCTCGTCTTGAAATGAGTCGTCATTCCCTGCATGCAGACAACTGGCCCGGATCTCACAGAAGACTCACTGACAAGCAAGATGAAAGAAAACCATGTTAATGCTCAAGTTCTCTCTCTTTGTGCATGCAGTTCAGAGATATTAAAAGTTTTCAAGACAAAACATTTGTCACTTTTAAATTGATTCAATAAGATAAGACTTGAGGAGTTAAGTTTTTAAGTCTTTGCTTAAAACATTTTATAGGAAAGCTTTTTATTGACTTATATTTGTTGTTTTATAGATTTTTTATATTTTCTATAATGTTATTGTTTCTTGTTTTGTCTTGTTCCATGTTATTTTACTCCCATGTATTTTGTAAAGTACTCTGTAACCTTGTTTAGATGTGTGCTATATTATTAATTGTTTTTATCAGTAGTAATAGTAGTAGTAGTAGTGGTGGTATTATAATACACAATAAAACATATATCACTTGTTACAATATTGAAACTTCATTGTGCAATAAATACTTAATAACAAATAACACAATATAATATATCACATGTATTACTATACTGTATTACTGTATATATGTATTACTACAAAATGTGATATATCACTCACACGGCCAGTTGCATAACGGGTACTTTTCCTATTTTCTGAATACAGGACTTGTACTTATAGTTGTATACTTTAAAATAGCTGTATTGATATTTTTGTACTTAAGTAACAGGTCGGAGCACTTCTTCCCTTTCCCTCAGTGAATATCACTGTATGCTGCAGATGCTGAGTATGGCATTGGAGTAAGATAGGCATCTCTATGGTGACTGTCCCCTTTAAATTCACCACTATAAGAGGCATCACAACAACATTCCTGGGTTTTGTCACGTGTCAATAATGTGCTTGCATGGCAGTAGCTTGCAGCTGCCAGTAGAGGGCGGCTTGACTCCATTAAAGACTCTATTTATTTACTTGTAAGAGGAGGGGAGCTTTCACAATGTAGTTCACTAGACCAGGCAGGATTAGAAACCTGCAACCTCTCTTCATGCAGCTTTGCATTCAGGCTCTCTGCCTAAGCATTTCGTTTCTTGTTGCTCTTTATTTTTTTTATTTTGCCAGGGCAGTTTTTAGAAAAGCCTCTCTGTACTTATTACAGTGGAGCCACATGCTCTCCAGACTGCCGCCATGGCCAAAAAAAGCGAGAGCGCTGAGCTGTGATCCTGTGAGAGGCACACATCCCCCCAAGGCTCCATTTCAGGGCCTGCAGACCAGCCTGACTAGGAGTGCACTGTTCCATGCTCGACTGCTGCCATGGAAACACCCTGCGAATGGGCGTGGGAGTGCAAGTCACATGGTCAGCAAAAGGATAAACAAGTCTCATTCATAACCGCAACACGGCCTATACATAGTACAAATAAGAGGGACTAACTTGTGCTGATAACTGAAAGGCACCCTGTGTCCAGAATTCCCCTGTGTGTTTGTGATCTTTATCCCGCTGCTTCCCTTGAGTTCTCCTCTTTATCTGACGTCTCTGCGGGGACACAGTCCATCCACAGCCTCCTCATCATTAAAACAAACCATCACATCAGCATAACATTTACAGTTATGCTGAACTTTATGGGGCAGGCAGATATGCGTGTGGAACATTCCTGGAGATAGAGTGTCACGTAGGAATAGTTTCCTTTATAGTCACTGATGTATTTTCTGCGTGGAGACAATGGAGTCTATCGATTCGTGGGGCCGAGTTGTATCCTCTTACACTCAGGGCTTTCCTGAGCTGCTCCATGCCCTTATTTAACTCTGGTGGATATATTTAGCCCACGGTGCTGACACAAATTTCTGCCAACTAAACAATTTAAGTGAGCATGCGATAAGTGATATGTCAGTGAGAGGGCAAATATTTTCTGCAGGCCTGTTCGCTGCAGTTTTCATGGAGGAAAAAACTCTGGGTGTGGCTGCTCCTTTTGGGATATTCATCACGACTTCACAGCCTATATGGCTTCAAATATCACTTTGCAGGACTTTGCAGATGCCGAGGATGAAAAACAACTTTGTTCCTGGGATCCAGGCATTAGTCACTCTCCTTATAATAGCTTCAACTGAACGTGTCTGTCTTGTCTGCAGAATCTGCTTTGGTGTTTTTGTCACAAGCTGACGAACCTCAAAGAATCCTAACTTAGAAAATAAGGAGATGAGAAACACGTACACACCACTAGAAAAACAGCTCCAGCCAGAGCCAAATAAACTGCTGTTAGGAGATTTAGAGAACATCTGTTGCTCTCTCTGATGTCCTTGGTTCGTTTTTTTTGCAAAACACGCAGCAAAAAGAGTTGCTTCACTGCAATTTCAGAAGCTTCAAATAAAGATGGAGAGCAAATATAAAACATTCCTCGACAGCAAGTTGGCCCAAACAGCCTTGTTTAAGTGGTATTGCATCAGAGGAGGGTCCCTGGGTATATTCCTTTGCGGGGATCATGGAAAAGTGATGTGGGGGGCCTCCCTCTCTTTCTTCATATAAGCTATGAAGCGAGAGACCAGGTTGTTTCCCTAAAATTCTTTGAGCATGTGCTTATGTTTTTGCAACACACAGGGAGAAGGTTTTCCTGATCAAGATGCCAAAAGTTTCCTCAGAGGAAACACAGCAATTGTGTTACGCATGCAGCCAAATCCCACTGTTAATGATTTTGCCACACAGACGATTGAGGCAAACATGTTTCACAACAAGTCACAGCTTCTCACTGTGGTAAAAAACAGGACTCATATTAGTCCTTTTTCCAAACCAAGAAGAAAAGAAGTCTGAGAAAAACACCTCAAGAAAAAGCTTTAAATGTCTGGGGAATAAAGAGCAAAACCACATTCCTGAGTGAACACACATGTGCAAACCCTCACATGCACTGAGGCGAATCTTCGCCGGAGAAGGAACATGCAGTCTAAATATGTCCTGTGATGCACTCGGCCATGGGGGTGGAGTTCAGCCGATCCCACTTGTAAAACAACGGCTGCAAAATTCACAAAATGTCTGGAATTCAGAAGAGAGCCTTTCACATGGTCCAAACACAGCAAAGGCCGCCTGGGTGCACACGTGTGAAAGTGAGATGTCTGCCATCTTTCTTTGGTGGAAGGAATAGTAAACAAAGCAATTATTTCACTTTTCTACTTTTCTCATGTACAGCAGGCAAAGATGTGTCATTCTTGGAGCTGCTCCTGTGATAACTAAGACCAAAAACATAAATTACTCAGCATTGTTATCACTGTAGCCAAGAGAAAACATGAGAGTGGTTCCTCAACTAACTGTTTTATTTGATGTGAATGTTTTCTGGTAAACCTGCTGCTTTGTTTTTTGGGTGTTAACTGTTTCTTTTGAGACTTTTTTTCAAAGCTTTTCATGGCTCATCTCTACAGAAAACAGGAAAGGAAGACAAGAAGAGGGCTGGATTCATCCACGCAAACCAACATGAACTAAAACAGCTGCTAAAGAACTCATTTGTGACATTTTGTGTGTATACTAACTGAACTTAGTTGTGCCTTTTCTTCCTGTCCACTCATGGCAAATGTTTATATTTCTAAAGTCAGGCATCTGGTCAAGTTCAAGGCTGCACTTCAGTTCCAGCAGGTAACTGAGGGGCCCGGCCTGCTCCTAAAATAAACAGCACATCAAAAGACTCATGTGCTCATGCTCGGGTGATAAATGCAGAGTTGGCTCATCTGGCCTCCTTGTTTTTTCTTCTCTTTCTTTTTTTCTTTCCTGTTTCAGTTCAGGAGCAAGTTGAGCAGAAAGCAAACGTGTTGCGCGCCCTTGACAGTCAGACACATTCCGCAGAGAAAGCTTCTCTTGCATTTTTTTCTCAGGGAGGTGGAGAGGTTCCTCCACAGACCAGGATCTCTGCTCTTTCTCCAGCGCAGCATATTCAGTGGGATATTATGTGAAGGAAATGGAGAGCATAGCTGAGCAGTGAGTCATGCTGTTTACTGGTAAAAGCAGTGACCAGCGGCAGGGAATCACACCCTTTCAATCTGACGTTTCCTGGAAACTCCCGTTGTTTCATGGAGAGGAAGGAAAAGTACAGAGGACCTTGGAAATGGTTGGCATGACTGCTGGAACGTTTGTGCGGAAAAGGGAGAAGTCGCTGAAATATCTGAGCAAAGATACGAGGGACGCTGGGATCCAAAGAAATGTCAAGAATGCAAAAAGACTTAAGAGCATATATCCATCCAGGTTTTTACAAGCTGGGAATGTGGGAGCAGGGGGGAAATATTAATGTTCTGTCTCTGATATGCTTGCATTACATAATTTCTCACTTTCCAGCTTGACATACCAAAACAAACCAAAGCGCTGAAAATACACTCAACAATCCAGCACCCTCCAGATTCCTGTGTTTCTCCTTCAAGAACAGCAGAGGTGGAGGCACGAGGGCACAAATCAGCATGTGACAGCAAAATATAAATGTTGTGGAGATGTGGAGTGTTTATGTCACTGCCAACATACAGTTTGAGTCACGATGGAATCAGGAGGTGGCCAATGGGGAAAAAAATTGAAAAATCAACAACTGAATCAGCAAATCAGCCTCATTGGGAACCAACGAGGGATTCCCAATAACACGATCTCACAGAAGAAACAACTTGATGCTTCTGGGCCACTAGAGACTATAGAGAGGTTGAGCAGCAGGTCACTGTGGGTGGCCGACTGAGTGGTCAGCAGACACAATATAACTGTCAGGAGGCACAGCCCTCACTCCAAAGTCAATAATCCAAACTCTACATAGTTGCTTCCAGAGAAAAAAGGAGCAAAACACACCACAACGGACATGTTCATTGTGAGTCATTGCGTCACTAACCACAGCTATGCCACTTGCACAATACTCCACCACAAAAACATTGTAGCTTTTACTTAATCACCACTGACTAGTAAAATGAGAATATAGTGTACAAGTGGATTAAACTACATTCTTTGTCTCCAGGGGAAGGATTTCTACTGATGTGCCTTATCACTGTCTTTCTCTGACACCCACACTGGTGGCAAATGAGTCAGACAATCCAACTTCCCTGATCCAAAAGAAGACATCATCAATCTGGAGATGTAACCACATGTTAACCCCATGACATGTTAACCCGCCTCTCTGAACGTAGCGGACGCACTGTGCACCCACCAGAAACGGACATTGAATCAGTGAGAGAAGGGCTCCCGAGCAACACATGTGTGGCCATATCAGTGGAACAAGTTACTCAAAGACAAATATTTTCCATCTATTAATCACAATGGTATTTACAAAAAGGTCAGAACTCAGACAGTTAAAGTTATCCCATACAGGACAAAGGGCAAACTTAAAAGACAGTCAATCAGTCATTATTCTAAGTGTTGTTATTATGAGGTAATTATTAATAATGAATTGCACTCGCAGGATACAGTTTCCTTCTCAACACCCGAGTCTTAAAGTATCTTGAGCTGAAAAATAGCTAAACAGGAAGATAAGATAAAGCCTTTCCCTTCTCTGGGGGTGATTTACTGTTTTTGGAAATATGCCCTCCTCCTGCTGATGCTTGTTTCCCCTGTGTAAGGCCACTCAGCCCTGGTGGTCTGACTCCACGTCGTGCCCTTTGTCCCACATGTCTAAAATTCAGACCACGTGTTGTTTCCAATGTCAAACGTAAATGCTGCTGGTATTTATTTATTTTTTTGCGTCATTATAGCTGCCTGTGATAAATTCCCCGCCTCGGAACGAGAAGTTAGACAGAGCAAGAACTGAGTTGGGGAAGTGAAAGTAATTTACTTAATTTCATTTAACTTCATTTAAGTTTACTTCCAGTTTCCATAATAAACTATTTTGAGAAACAGAAAGTAGGTAAAAAATAAACAAACCTCAAAAAACACAGATTCTATCTCATAATAACTACCAGTTTATTAAACAATAGGCTATTATGACGTTTTGTAACATAACTTAAACAACATTAAGTAAAATGTCATGTTGACGTCGATTTAAAGAAAATGGTGCGAAATTGAAATATAACCTTTTTTCATGAAAATGCGCGTAATCTTCACATATTTGTTTTCCTTAAAAGAATGCCCTGTTATCCTTCACTCACTGTCATATTAGACCACAAACACTTAGTATTAAAAATTACCCACTGTATTAAAACAACTGGAAATCTGGCAAAATAGAAAACACAGTAATATAAAAAATGAGGATTTCTACAAAGTTACTTTTTGCCTCTTTTCCTCTGCGCTCCTGCGCTCTGATCCACTTTTTTTAGTCATTGTGTTATGTTACTCCAACACAACACGTGTCCGCGCGAAACCATCCACAAACTCAACACCAACTTTCATAATAAACTCGGACATATGACGGACAATCGGTGGACACACCGTGATAAAACGCTGACATATGTCCCCGTGAGAAACAATTTACAAGAAATGTCAAAACATCATACACCAACATTAAAAAAAAACAAGCTCACCTCTGTGGACGCGGATATATCTGTGGACCGGAATGCGTAAAACCCCCCAAAAAGGAAAAGTGGCGGCTTTTCCGTCAGAGGCGACGCAGAAACTGGACACGGTCCGTGCGTAAAAACGCGTCCAGCGGCGGTGGACTGACCGGCGGCAGATCCTCGTACGAAATTAAAACTACAAAACAACAACAATGTACCAACATTCCACGCTCTGCTTCCGCAAGCACTCACGTCACCGATTCCTCGTGACCGCCCCCTCCATTCATGAAAATAACTTTCTGCTGACGTCAGTCTGGGAAGAGGAGGGGGGAGGGGGGGCATGGTGGTGGAGAGGAGGAGGAGGTGAGGGGTGAGGCCATAAATAGAAGACAGATACTGCTGGGGACTTGCTTTTGCTTACTTTACAAAACTAATCCGCACAAAGTCACTTCACGATGCCAACGTCACAGCCAGAAACAGCCAGAAAGAAAACCTTCAGGTCCTAATCATCATACAACCTGCTGCTCTGTCCTTCTCCTCCGCCCATCACGCTCTTCTCTACCATCACAGGTCTACACAACAAGGTTTTCAAAAATGTGCATAAACAGAGAGAGGGAAAAATCCTCCTCCTCCTCCCTCCCTCCTTTTGAGCGGCGGCAGCATTCCATTCCTGAGGAAAGTATGTGGTGTAGTAGCCCCGGCAGTCACAGGATTTCTCTTATTTTAACTGCACTGCTGCCCAGTAACGTCACAGGTTATTCTGGGTAATTAAGTACTGAATGTAAATATGTTAAGTCAGGAGCCTTTTAAGGGCCTCGCTGGCACGGGTCTTCCTCTGTTCGTTTATTCGATATGAGAAAAGACCTGGGCCTGGAGGTTGTCTCAGACTGTGGTGCCTGTTAAAAACAGATTCAGAGTGTTTATACTATAAACACTGTGGGTTACAAAGTTCAGACAACTGCTAAGAAGAGGGAAATACACTTTCCACATTTGTTTCTGCTGACTCGACCAAGATTAGGTGGAATAGTCATGTGTTTCTTGTTGGATATTCTCTCCGATTAGCATGAGTCATAATTTTCATCATTCTTGGTATTAAGATCTACCAAGGAAGTAATTTTTTCACCACTGTATATTTGTTTGTTTGTTTGTTTGTCAGCAAAAACTACTAAATGGATTTCCACAAAAACCTGTGAGACATGAGCAAAGAGGGAACCCATTAAACTTTGGTGTGGATCTGGAAATGTTTGCTGATTTCCCAGGGGAATAATTCATGGATCCTGATGAAAAAAATACAGCATATTTATGGGACTGCATGAGCATATGCAATTTGGTACAGCTTGATTGAATTTAAGGGGAATGTTGGGCCTTGGCGGAGGAACTATTGAACGCTATTCCAGTTATTTGTGGGATTTACTTAAAATGCAATGCTGTCAGATGTTTGAAATAATGTTTTTTTCTGTCACATTGCAAATGTCAGCATCCTCAAAACGAAGGCATTCGAAGTTTATTCATCCATGTGAGTCAGTTTGTGTAGAAAACATTCCTGCTGAACGCTGAAGAACAAATACCCTCTTCTTTCTTTTTTTATTCCAAACGGACAGAAATCCAATAATGAAATCTAACAGTCTGTGATATGTCATCAAACATCAGCATGACGTTGTTATCTCAGACAGACTGGTGGTGGGAACAAGTTGCAGTTTTTTAATTGACCATTTTAGGACAAAAGCAGCTTCATAATTCGATCATTTTTGTTCCATGATGATTTCGGTTTCACGCTGCTATGTTTAGCCACTGCAGAGACAAAAGAGGAAGCACGCAGACACAATAAAGACAACCACATGTATTTCAGATCCATGATGTAATTGTGATCTTTAGATAAAGCGTGAATAATAAATAAATGATAAATTTTTAGTTAGAATTGAATGGGATGATTATTTAGACCAAAAATAGGCCTAAACTCTCCCTGTAAAGTGTTTTCCCAAAGCAGTGGTGTTAGACAAACAACACTGAATATTGTCTTTTCTAAATCACAAGTGAAGTACTCCTTTGTGCTATCCACAAAGTCCTGCTTCCAGTGAAGAACGCCTGAGAATTCCTCCCTTTTCCCTCTCGGCTCTGTGCCACATGCAACAATTGTGATAGCTTCAGGTTCCTGTCATTCTTTATGGCCTCTGACTCATCAGATCAAAGAATTCTTCAGAATCACACGTGGAAGCAAAAGTTCACAACAAATAGATGATGGGCCTAATTACAGATGATGAGGAATTCTGGGTAAAATGCAGGTGATTAATCGGCTTTATGATCTAGTTCACGTTTATATGACATGATTTAAACATGAATTGATTACTCTAGATTATCATAGGTGAGGTGTGATGAGTTAAGTGAAATGAGGTGAGACTGGGTTACATTAGATTACAACAGAGGTGGGAAATCCTGAGATTAGACGACATTGCATTAAAATAGAAAGCATTTCATTACACATGTGATGGGATTAAATGAGATACAATGAGACTGGATTACATCAGATTAAAATGAGCTGTGATGAAAGTGGATTATGTGGGCTTCACTATGAGATGGCATCATTTAATTTGTTTACATTGCAGATTAGATTGTTTAAGATAGAATAGAATCATGATGTAGGGGAATCCACATTAGTTGATGTGAGATTAAATTGTATTTCCCTACTCTGGGTTAGAGTAGCTCATATTATTTGCAAATGTGATGAGATTAAATGAGATGAGATGAAATTTTATCACATTAGATTAGACATGTGATGAGACGAAGAGATTTATATCAAATTAGGATGAATATGAGATTTGATTATTACGGGATTATATTATATAAATGTATGTAATGTGATTAAATCAAATGATCCTGTTTTGTATTATATTAGAATCCAGGTGAGATGGGATTATATTTGATGGGATTAGATGAGACATGATTAAAGTTTATGTTACAATGTTTAAATTGAAATAGATTATTGCATGATGTGTTACATGAGATTTAATGTGATGCAAAAAAAAAAAGTAAATATGAAATAGGGTGAGTTAATATAGTGTATTTCAGATTATATGAGATTAGAGTTCACTGCATCAGAAATGAGATCAGATTAGATGATTGGATTGTATACATTTCAGAGTTGATGATTAAGTAAATCAAGGATATGTGATTGCAATAGATTAGATGAGAGATGGAGCCAGATGAGGATAAAGTAAACTGAGATGAGAATTGATTACATGAGTTTTAATCAGAGAAAATATTGGGCTAAAAAAACAGGATGAAATGAGATTAGATTAGATCTCATTAAATGATAATAGAATAGATTACATGTCATTATATGAGCTTTACTGAGATGTAATAAAACTGGTCTACATGAGATTGGATTCCAGATGAACTAGGTTTACATAACAATAGATTACAATAGAACAAATTGAGACGTGCATAAATGAGATTATACAAAACTGTTGAAATGAGATGGGTTTAGAAAAGAATTGGAAGAACATGAGATTAGATCCCAATAGATTAGATGAAATTGGATTACATTAAATCAGAGATGAGATTAGATGAGAGGGGGTGGTTAAAGATTAGTTTAGACTGTATTTTATTACATTGGATTAGATTAGATTAGATTTCTTGACATTACATAATAGAAACATTGAGACATAATGAAAACAATTAAGATGATTAGATAGGATTACATTCAATTCCAGATGACATTCGATTACATTTTGAGTAAAATGGAATCAAACAACTGGAGACAGTAATGTGGTAGAGGGGGAAATAAATAGAATCAGGATTGAAAATAAAACTACGGCTATATTGTGTTTATATTTTTGGTTTCAGGCAGAAACTGCCAGGGGCTGGAAAAAGAAAAAGAACAACTGTGAGAGAAAGTCTCTGCAGGATGACCTCTGCTATTCTAGATCAGTCAGACATCCAGCTGCTCAGTCGATGCCATACCACCCAATTACTGTCCATCTGGCAGTAGCGTACACAGATGACCTGAAATACACCCGATCTGTCCAACAAAACAAAAACAGCGCACCATGTGCCACAGACGTCGGGGTTTTCGTCAGATCAGCGTGCTGTGGGGTCCAGGTTCTTTCAGGCCGTTTTAGATTACAGGAAGTAACACTGACTCACTAATCTTGCTCCTTTCTGACTCAGACTCTTGAACTCAGAAATCTGATCTTGCACAAAGAGGCCCCCTGTTGTAAAGGGATCATTCCTTCCTCCAAATGCTCCAACTTATTAGAGAACAAAGGGGTTAATATCAGCCACGCAGAGTTTAAAATTATAATGCTAATACATAATACATTAGATTCTCCCTCAAAGTGTTTTTTACATTGTTGAGAACTAGCTAAGTGAGAGTACCTGACACATTAGACAGAAGCCTCTGGCACAGACTCAGCCGTGTAATTTCAAAAGTCAAAGAATTGTTTTTGCAGATCCGCAGACTTCCCATATGACACAGGATTTAATTTGGAGCACTGACTGAACATTCCACTGACTTCATCAAATTGTGTTTCATACGAAAACACTTTACGTAACCGGCTGGAAGGTTGACGCTGTGTGGAAAGGAAACATGACGGGGTTACAGTAGTGGTGGTGGCCGTGGAGGCGACAGCTGGAGCAGGCCATGGTATCTGTCATCTGTAAAACTCTCCTAAAGCTTCACTATACTGAAAACCACCCGATAACCAAAGTAAAAGTTTAGGCTTTTAAGGATAGTTAACGAGTCCAAAAGTTGAGAGTTGCTCATTTCTATACTTGATAGTCTTGTCAGGGTTTAGTAATGTTTGAAGAATGAGCAAATCGCTGCCTCTGACCATGGGCGGCACTAAATATGGACATTATTAAGGGCGGTAAAAAAGCTCTGATGCTCTTACTTCATTTTCCTCACTGCAGGGACATTGTTGAAGAATGAAAACAGCTGCGAGGACGCACATTTACAAACGGTAATTTCTGAGAACAACTCGCATCTACGTCACCTCAGTGTGTGACTCATCATGACTCTGAGATTTCCAACTTCCTCGCTGACTTCACGCTCAAACCATCTGCATCTTATCAGATTTTGGGTTCGACCTAATTCAACTGGGTCATCTGTGCTGAAGTGTACTGTGGTTAAATTGCTTTTATTTCAGGATGGTCTGGATGGTCTTTGACAAAGTCATCACAAAATACCTCTACTTTTATATTTGCCGACGGTTCTATTTGGATTTAGATCATGTTTATTCATTTCATTTGTATTTGTTTATTTTGCTCTTTCAAATTCTGCTCTGGTAGGAGACCAACTAATATTCCACCCTGTACATGGAATGATATTGATTTAGTAGAAAATGGGGACTGCACTGCCACCTTGTGTTGGAGCCATGTAATTTAAAACCCTGTGCAAATATTATGTCACCTGCCTTGTTATTTTAGGCTTGAAAGTAAATCCAGTGAAGCAACAGGATGAAAACACCAAATTAAATAGATTTCTCTGTCATAGCTTTTTTTTTAAAAAAAAGTAATATATTCACTACTTGTTGCGCTTTGATTGTGTTTTGTAGAAAACAGCATCCCCAACTCTGAATACACTGGTTATTTTAAGCCAGAAGTCACATGTGCTGTTTTTATATAGTACATACAACTTTCTTTGATAGATATGTTGTATTGATTATCAAAATTTGCTTATTTAAGGAGATTAATACCTTTTAATTCAGCCAATAACTCCAAAAACTGTTGGTTTATTTGACCTAGGTACATGTGGCTGCTCCTTTCTTCCTAAATGCTAAGGTCAAAATGTTGTTAGAGAAAGTGGTGGTTTGTTCATTCAACACATCTCATTTTGTGATCTGCATCAACTCACCATTGTTAAGGTACATTTTTATACTGTATAGAATTAAACAGCAAATTGATAGGAATACTGACTGTAATAGCTCTGATGTGACAAGTCTTCATTACTGGGAAAAGTAACAGTGATACACGCATACATAATGGTGACTATTAATATGAAGATGAGATGGCAATTTTTTTTTTCTTTTAGCAAGCGCTGACTGAACCACATGAAAGCAGCTGAACAAAAAATTAGTCAGTGTACTAGAGAATGTAATACAATCAGAATGGTGACATCTGCTGGTCAATTATTGGTGTTGCATAATACTGAGATGTTCTCACAAAATAAGTTGTCATGTATGATTATCCAAGTTAAAGACAATTTTCATGTACAGCATTTTGAAGTTACAATAAAGACAGATTTTTTATTTTCTATCTAAGAGTTTCTAAGATTCACTAGCACTATCCTGAGAACTATTTGAGAATGTCTGTACTACATTTTATATTGTAAGGACGAGATTTGATAATCGTTTGTTTGTCCCACTGTCTGCATCAAATAACTAATTTACCCAAACTTACCAGACGAATGAGCACTTGGACAAACTACCTATAATGGCAGAAACTGTCTTTGAGAAAATGTATTTAACATTTACTTTGAGCTTTTGGTTTGGTCAATGTCCCGTTCATCAACATAGAGGAGGCAGGATTTGTGACATGTTCTGGAGCCAGCCACCAGGTGGCAACGAAGATGCTTTGGCTTCACTTTTGGGGACCAATCATGTCGTCCATCTTTATTTACAATCTATAAACACGAGGGAATATAGAACATAGTAATGAGATATACTGTTAAACAGAATAAATACAAGGTAACCAAACTAATAAACTAATGATCAACTATTTTTTAACAATTCCTTTAAATCCTTGTAATCTTACTTTTTCTTGCAGCTACATTTTATGTAGTTTCTCAAATGGGACCACTTTTTTTAGGTTTTAAAAGACATAGAGGTAATGAAGTCTGATCTACTGAGCTGGCCACATGGCTTTCATAGTGCTGCCATACAAGCCAGTAGTAGACAGTCAGATTTATCTCTAGCCACATTTTCATTTATTTATTCTCATTTATTTATTTTCATTTATTTATTTTCATTTATTTATTTATTTAAGTATTTTATTAAGCACATTGTAACCTTGCTCAGATAAGTACTATGTGAATAAAGTCATTATATACAGTGTAACTTTCCACTTTTCACTCCTTTGCGCTAGGTGGCGGTATGAATATTGACTCGATATAGTGAAGGGGAAGAAGAAGAAGCCACCATGGCTCTGTGTTAACGTTAGCTTGGATCTAGGATTAGCTCTTTATAGTTTTATCAACGGTACATTTCCAGACGTGTCTCCTTCAGACTGACAAGGATCGGTTTCATGAAGCCGTTCAACAAGTGAGATACCTTTAACCTCATACGAGTTTGTTTACGTTTTAGCAGATTGATGCTAACGCCACTGTCAATCATTGATTCACGGAGGCTAACTTCTAATGCTAACAGCCACATTTATTCCCATTTATAATTAATTGCAGCTACTTAGAACAGACTCATGTAACATTTCAGCATATAACCAGAGACCGGACACAGAGGTTTTGCTACGTTTAGTCTGCAAAGCTAATGCTAGCTGCTGATCTGAGTGATCGTACCACTCCTACCTAGCTAGAAGATGCTAACTGTAACGGATGTGTTGACGTTTGTGTATTGTGTGTTTGTTCTTCGCACACAGGTTGTTGTAAACTAGGTTGTGACACCTTCAGTTGAGATGAACCGCCCCAAACCTGCAGCTCTCCGGCGCCCCAGTGCTGCCAAACCATCAGGTACGATGCAACTCCCCCTGTCACCTTATTGTTGCTGCTCTTTCCCCCCACCTTGTGTTTATGATGATAACTAAGAGGGGCAACATCTCAACTGTCCTGTGATGTCTGCTTTTCCTAGCTCACCCACCCCCGGGGGATTTCATTGCCCTCGGATCCAAGAGCCAGGGTGCAGAGCCCAAAGCCCCCGCCGTCCTCCTGAAGCCAGCATCCACAGGTCTACCAGCGGACCGTAAGAGAGAGACTTCCTCCACTCTGCCCTCCTCATCGGGGCTGTCCAGCCTCACCAAGCGTCCCAAACTCTCCACCACCCCTCCAGTCAGTGCCCTGGGAAGACTCGCTGATGTAGCTGCAGGGGACAAAAGGGCGATTTCGCCCTCAATAAAGGAGCCATCAGTGGTTCCCATTGAAGGTAATACAATACTTGGATTTGTGCTTACGTTGAAAACCCTTCAATCCTTCATCCAGTTACAAGTTATAACACCCTTTTAGTCCTGCCATACAAGCCAGTAGCCAGTCAGATTTATTTTTAGCCTCAGTGTGACCTCAGGTTCGTCTTTTAACGTGATTGCAATTAAAAGGGCGAAACACTTGATGATGCCAAGGTACAACTGAAGATTATCTCTCTCTCTCCTCTTTCACACCCACCTCTCCTCTCTCCTTCTCTGCTCACCCCAAGTCTGGCTCTGCTAGAGGTTTCTTCCAGTTAATGAGAGATTTTGCTCTCGACAATCGTCAAAGTGCTGCTCATTGTGGGAACCGTTTGATTTCTCTATAAATTTTAAGGTCTTGCCTTAATATGTTATGATTTGGCAGTTAAAATTGGACTGAGTTAAATACCATTTATTTGTATTCATTAGTTATTGCCATGGATTTTGTGAAGCACTTGGTAACCTCGTTTAGATAAGTGTTACACAAATAAAGTTATTTTCCTTTAATTTTAGTGTCACCGGCGGTGCTGCTGGACGAGATTGAAGCCGCAGAGTCTGAAGGTAACGATGATCGCATTGAGGGACTGCTGTGTGGAGCGGTGAAACAGCTCAAGATGAACCGAGCAAAACCTGACATCACGCTGTACCTAAGTCTCATGTTCCTGGCCAAAATCAAGCCCAATGTGTTTGCAACTGAAGGAATTATTGAGGTGAGACTGCTCGTACAGTAATGCTGTGTCATAGTTATATCCTGGGAGAAATGTTATGATTATGTAATGTAGCTCATCCCTTAGCCATTGCTTGTTTTGAAATCACAAAGTAGCACAGAAGGTCAAATAATTAATCATATATTATGCATTTATTAGCTTGTTTACTTTTTAATTTGCTTTGATTTATATCTATTTATGTTAATGCATGAGAAAAAAGAAAAACTGGAAAGTTGTCTTAATTAAAACTAAACTATTCAGCAAAGTATTGTTAGTACTGCAAAACAAATGAGATGAACCTCACAGATTCAGGATTTTAAGTACCATCTTTCTGACTTTATTCCTCGCTCTTGTCACCAGGCCCTTTGTAGCCTCCTGCGTCGTGATGCTTCTATCAACTTCAAAGCAAAGGGGAACAGCCTGGTGTCTGTTCTTGCTTGCAATCTTTTGATGGCAGCCTACGAGGAGGATGAGAACTGGCCTGAGATTTTTGTTAAAGTGAGAATCTCCTAAGCAGTCAAAATAAAAGTCATACTCCTTTTAAATTTTTCGTATTTCATGTATAAACCCTTACCTCTGAAATGTTTTTGCAGGTGTACATCGAAGACTCTCTGGGAGAAAGAATCTGGGTGGACAGTTCTCACTGTAAGAATTTCGTCGACAACATCCAGACTGCTTTTGGCACAAAGATGCCTCCAAAGAGTATGCTGCTTCAGGCCGACACCGGTCGCTCTGGTGGAGATCTCAGTGCAGGTGCGGTGCATTGAGGACATAGTTTGGATTTTTGGATGATTAGAATTGCTATTGCAGGATACAAGTGTCAAGTGTCAACCTTTTGCCTTTTAGGTAGCAGCCCCCACCCTTCAACACCTGATGAGGATGACAGCCAGACAGAACTGCTGATAGCAGAAGAGAAACTCAGTCCTGAGGATGAGGGGCAGGTGATGCCGAGGTATGAAAAATACTCATATTCTTAGATGTGAGTAACACTACAAAAGTATGTCCAAGAGACTTTACTCAAAACTGTTATTTGTGCTTAGACAAAATTCAGCTTGAATATTTTTCAGTCTAGACGACAAGGCTGTAGGAGTTCATGAACTCAACGCAGCTTAATTTATGATTTCTGCAGAAACTATCAAGAGTTGCTGTAATGTTTTCCCTCTGTCCCTCCCTCTGGGGTTACTGTAGGTATGAAGAACTGGCAGAGAGTGTGGAGGACTATGTGCTGGACGTGCTCAGGGATCAGTTGAACCGCAGGCAGCCGATGGACAACGTGTCACGAAACCTGCTGCGTCTGCTTACAGCCACATGTGGCTACAAAGAGGCACGACTCATGGCTGTGCAGAGGCTGGAGATGTGGCTCCAGAACCCGAAGGTAAGAAGTGGAGCACAGACCCTGGAATAAACAAACACCTGAACACCTGAACAGCTTTATGTCACTGTATCTCACTGGCCATAGTTGCTTTAAGCTATTACATTTGGAAATCTAATCTTGACTCTATAATTCCATAAAATTGAATTGATTATTGATCTCCGTTCTTTTGTTTTTAATGTATGCAGCTTACTCGACCAGCCCAAGACCTCCTCATGTCTTTGTGTATGAACTGCAACACACACGGAGCAGACGACATGGAGGTGATCTCCAACCTGATCAAGATCCGGCTCAAACCTAAAGTGCTCCTCAACCACTACATGTTGTGTGTCAGGTGTGTCTTTGTCTCAGTTAATCTTACTTCTTTTGCCTTTGGTGACTCACATTAACTGACACTTTGGTGTGTGATTCTCTAGGGAGCTGCTGAACGCACACAAAGACAACCTTGCCACGATGGTAAAGCTGGTGATCTTCAATGAGCTGTCCAATGCCAGAAATCCCAACAACATGCAAGTTCTCCATACAGTGCTCCAGCACAGCCCAGAACAGGCTCCGAAGGTACAAATTAAAAAACATGGAAATGGAAGACTTATATTGTTCATCAGTGTCTGTTTTCATCTTTTGGCTTTTTATTGCTGTGCCTGAATTCTTTTGTTTCACTCTCTCTGTCTCCCTTTATGTCTGTAGTTCTTGGCGATGGTGTTCCAGGACCTGCTAACCAATAAGGATGATTACCTCCGTGCCTCCCGAGCTTTGCTGAGAGAGATCATCAAACAGACAAAGCATGAGATTAACTTCCAGTCCTTCTGCTTCGGTTTGATGCAGGAGAGGAAGGAGACCAGCTACGTGGACATGGAGTTCAAAGTAAGATCAGATGAAAACTCCCCCTGTCATTTTATCTGCAATCATCCTGCATTTAAATTTGACTCTGAACTGTTTATCATTGTCTCTCTCTCTGCAGGAGCGTTTTGTTATCCAAGTGACAGATTTACTGACTGTCTCCATGATGCTGGGCATCACTGCTCAGGTCAAAGAAGCCGGCCTTGCATGGGACAAAGGCGAGAAGAAGAGTCAGTGCCGTGTGTTTGTTCTAATCTTGCATTTAATAACCATAATGCATTTTTATTAGGTGTTTGTTTTTTCCCCTAAACATGTGTCTGGATTGTTTCAGATCTTGACGTCCTCAGGTCCTTCCAGAATCAGATTGCTTCCATACAGAGAGACGCTGTGTGGTGGCTTCACACTGTGGTTCCCACCATCAGCAAAGTTGGTGCAAAAGACTACGTTCATTGGTCGGTATCTGCTTGCCCCTGAACAGTTTGTGCTTCTTAAACAAATGATGTTTCCATCTACATTAAACATAATTTATCGTCATCTATCTCACCTGCAGCCTTCACAAAGTACTTTTCACAGAGCAACCCGAGACATATTACAAGTGGGACAACTGGCCTCCTGAGAGTGACAGAAAGTAAGTCTCCCTTCAGGTTTAAAATGTGTGGTTCTTCAGATTGCATCTACCAATTACTTTTTTCTTTCCCCAGTTTCTTCCTTCGTCTCTGCTCCGAGGTTCCTCTGTTGGAGGACACACTGATGCGCATTCTGGTGATCGGCCTGTCGCGTGATTTGCCTCTGGGCCCGGCTGACGCCATGGAGCTGGCAGATCACCTGGTTAAAAGGGCGGCTGGAGTTCAGTCTGATGGTGTGTGAGGATCCAATTCGTCTGTAACTGTTTCTGAGTGTCAGTGTGTTCAGTGTGTCACTCTCTGTACATTTTGCAGTATTCAAAGGGGCATCTCCTTATTTACATCTCGTCCTCTCACGTCTGCAAAATAGTTTTAGGCGAACAAGAGGAAACGGCAAATACGTGATATTATTCTTTACATTTTGAAGCTGCAGAGGTGACTGACTGTTCGAAAACAGATCTGGAGGTCCTGAGAGTGGAGAGGATCCAACTCATCGATGCGGTGCTGAATCTGTGCACATATCACCACCCAGAGAACATTCAGCTGCCAGCGGGGTACATCCAATGTCTTTTTAAAAACTTCATTAGGTCATACAGTTTTTAGTCGATAATAACGAATGACTCTATGTTTAATTTTGAGGTACCAACCACCAAATCTGGCGATATCCGCGCTCTATTGGAAGGCTTGGCTGCTGCTGCTTGTGGTGGCTGCATTTAATCCGCAGAGAATAGGTACATTTAAATTTATGTTTCATACATATGTTTAGTTTTCAAATGTATTTAAAGTCATTAAATTGTGTGTTTTGATATATTGCGTGACATTTTTCATTTTCTTTGTTTAGGTTTGGCTGCTTGGGACGGCTATCCAACGCTGAAAATGCTCATGGAGATGGTTATGACAAAGTAGGTAAAGGTGATCATTTAGAGTTAAGTAACTCCTAGTTGATTGATGAAGCTTAACCAACACATGTCTCTGTGTTTAGTAACTACACCTACCCTCCTTGCACCATTGCTGATGAGGACACAAAGACAGAGATGATCAACAGGGAGCTGCAGATGTCCCAGCGAGAGAAACAAGACATTCTGGCCTTTGAGAGTCACCTAGCAGCAGCGTCCACCAAACAGACCATCACAGAGAGCAACAGTCTGCTGTTATCTCAACTTACCAGCCTGGATCCACAGTAAGACATTTCACAGTTTGTCAAATAGTGACTTAAATGGGACTAAACAGACATCCATCAGAGCAGGGTACATCTCTGCTCATACATCAGAATGTTTTGAAATGACTTATTTGGCTAAAAGTACATTAATTCTGATCCTGATATTTTTTTGTATCTCCCATGATATTGTCCTATATCATGTAATGCAGCTTTAAACATTATACCTTGTCAATATAATTACTACAGTGTATATTAAAATGAATATTCTACTAAGGTCGTGGTAAAAAAAATAAATCCTGTCCAAAGGTAATAAATAAGGATAATAAGCAGTTTGCTGTTGTTTCAGTTATGTTATATAAAATCAGTCATAACATCCTCACATTCGAGATAAATGAGTTCCTACAGGGAGAAGGACTAATGGTTTTTGTTTGTGTTCAGGGGTCCTCCTCGTCGACCTCCACCACAGTTCCAGGAGCAAGTCAAAAGCCTCAACCAGTCCCTGCGTCTGGGACACCTCCTCTGCCGCAGTCGCAACCCAGACTTCCTCCTCAACATCATCCAGAGACAGGTAACAGGCAAACAAACATGTTTTCGCTGTGCCTCAGATAACGGAGAGATTTGCAAGCACTTGCTCAGGATACATCTACTGAGCCTAAAACCATGTAGCCCATCTATTAAAAGATGAAATAACACTTTTGTAGTGTCACCATAGGTCAAGTAAGTAAGTAAGGTGCACTTTCAATCCATCATAGGCTTCCTCTCAGTCCATGCCCTGGTTGGCTGATCTGGTTCAGTCCAGTGAGGGGTCCTTGGATGTGCTTCCAGTGCAGTGCCTGTGTGAATTCCTTCTGCACGATGCTGCAGATGAGAGTCTGCCGATAGAGGACGACGAAGAAGGAGAGAGCAAAGAGCAGAGGGCCAAGAAGAGACAAGTATGTTGATGATTTTAAACAGAAGCTGTCCTGTTTTTATATTTGTTTTCTCTGAGCCACTGATCTTTATTTGTGAACCCCTGAGTGAATCTCAAATCCTCTCTGTTCCTCTCAGAGACAACAGAAGCAAAGGCAGCTGCTTGGACGACTGCAGGATCTTTTGCTAGGTCCTAAGGCTGATGAACAGACAACATGTGAAGTGTTGGATTATTTCCTGCGTCGTCTTAGCTCTTCTCAGGTGGCATCGAGAGTCCTGGCTATGAAGGTATCAAACTTATTGGAAGCATATATCATTCTACAACCTCTATCAGCATTGTTATCCCATTTGACTTAATATATTTGCTTTCAGGGTTTGTCTTTGGTGCTGAGCGAAGGAGGCTTGAAGGATGGAGATGAGCGGGATCAACCCATGGAGGAAGATTCTGCAGATGCTGAGCTGTTGCCGGGTTACCAATGGTTGCTGCAGGACCTCCCAAAACTCCCCTTGTTTGACAGTGTGAGGGGCATGACGTCCACTGCTCTGCAGCAGGTCAGCATCTGTCTCAGGCACTGCACTGTCTAAAATCGGAAGCAAAGGTAAAGGTGGATTCATGAGTAAAAGATAGAAGAGTAAGTCTTGTCTGTCTGCTCCCTCGCAGGCCATTCACATGGAGACTGATCCACAGACAATCAGTGCCTATCTCATCTACCTTTCCCAGCATGCACCAGTGGAGGAGCAGGCCTCTCATAATGACCTTGCACTGGTAATCAAAGCGAGCTGCTTCAATTTCATAATGACATGCTTTTTGTTTTAAGTCAAGTTTAGATGTTGTCTTCGATTCCCCCCTGACTGTTCTTTGTGTCGCTCTCTGCAGGATGTTGCGCGGCTGATCGTCGAGCGTTCAACCATCATGAACAGCATGTTCTCCAAACACTCCTCCAGGCCTGAGTCCAATGCTGTGCTCTCTGCTTTCCTCACCATCTTCTCTGCTTACATTAAGAGGATGAGGAAGACGAAAGAGGGCGAGGATCTTTACAGCTGGGTGAGCACCACTAAATGAACGACTTTGTCTTTTACATTTTTGGAATCTTCTTGTGGCTTCTCTCACAGTGGCTTCTTATACGTTAGATAACCCCAGAAGTGCAAAGTTTTGGGCCTAGTTTTCAGGCACATTTCCTGTGATCACCTAAAGATCTTGATAGTGACTGCAATCAAAAACACATTCAAAGCAAATGCTGCAGTTTAATTCCTGTTTGATTTTGATTGCTGAATTATACAGATCAGGGTGGATTCACAACGTTTTCTATTTTTAGTCAGAATCTCAGGACCAGGTGTTTTTGCGTTGGACCACAGGCGAAACTGCAACCATGCACATCCTGGTAGTCCATGCCATGGTCATCCTGCTGACTCTGGGGCCCCCTAAAGGTAGTCCTGTGCATGTCAGATTTCAATGTGTGCATTAATGAAGAACATCTTTGATATTATATGTGTTATTTAACAATATTCACAGGAGAGAGTGATTTCTATGCTCTTTTGGACATTTGGTTCCCTGACAAGAAACCTCTACCCACTGCCTTCCTGGTTGACACTTCAGAAGAGGCCCTTCTGCTGCCTGATTGGTTGAAACTGAGGATGATCCGATCAGAAGTCTCTCGATTGGTTGACGCAGGTACAACTTCTCCTACTTTGCTGAAACAAACATGGCTCATCAAGTAAATATTGTTTACTGCTTCTAATCATTGCACATGTTTCCCTCAGCTCTGCATGACCTGGAGCCTCAACAGTTGCTGCTGTTTGTTCAGTCCTTTGGCATTCCTGTGTCCAGCATGAGTAAACTGCTGCAGTACCTGGATCAGGCTGTTTCCCATGACACCGACGCACTTGAGCAGAACATCATGGACAAACGTAAGAATCTCCTGCAGATATTCTGTTCTTAAGATTTTGAGATTTGTTGTAAATCTTTCTGATTTGTCTCATTTTGTTTTTCCTCTGCAACAGACTACATGGCCCACCTGGTTGAGGTGCAGCATGAGCGAGGTGCCACCGGGGGGCACACTTTCCATTCATTACTGAGCTCCTCTCTTCCTCCTGACAAAGGTCAGTGACTTTATCTTCCAAATGGTTTGTTTCTTTTCGTCTGCGACTTAGAAAACCCCAAAATGATTATAGTAAGGAACTGGCTTTATCAATGAGTTGTGTCCTAACTCCAAAGAACACATGGTTACCATGCTGTTAACATGATTGACAGCAAGCGCAGTTTAAAGTTTAAAACAAATAGAGGAGGTTCTGTCTGCCTTTTTGTTTTTTCCTCCCAACAGACGCTCATCCAAAAAACACACCTCTTCCTTGGGTCAACAGAAATACTTTAAGATGCCTGTATACCTTATGAATAATATTTCATGGCATAGATTTAAAATCGACGTAGCAGACAGAAAAAACAAAATTTAAATGATCTAAATTCTTCATTAATGTTTTGACATCCCTCTTAACAGATTCTTCTGAAACAAGTAAGGCTACAGTTACCGTGGAGACGCCCCACAGCTCTGTGAAGATGAAAGCGGCCAGTCAGCTTCCTGCAGTCGGGCCTGACGATGATCTCACTGGCATGTTGCTTCAGGTAGGATTTAACTCGAGAGCTGTTTCTTGTATACGTTGTTCCTTTTTACATTTGGAAAACACTCCGAGCAAAAGTCCTTGACTGCTTAGTCACTGTATCAAAAGGAAATTGTTTCTGTTTCCTTTTCTACGACAGATATTCCCCATAAAGGTGGACCCTCGCTGGCATGGCCCGCCTCCCAGCCACCTCTCTCTAGCCCTGCAGCAAGCCTTGGCTAAAGAACTGATGCGAGCCAAACAAGGCCAGGTTCAGCAGGGTGGGTTGGCATTTCGCCTCCTACAGGCCATCGCTGCCCTGCTCACCTCTACCCATGCAGGCCCCATTGTCATGTCCATGCACTGTAGCCACGCCCTCTCCTGTCCTCTCATGCGCCAACTGCACCTCTATCAGGTGGGGCTTATTAACAAAAAGTGCATGATTCCAATAGCTCATTAATTAAACTGTGAATATATGTCTTTCTGTTTTCTGACACATTTTTTTCTTTTCCAGCGTCTCGTGTCCCAGGACGTTGCTTTTTCCTCACTGTTCCTCAAGGTCATCGTTGAGGTGTTGATCTGGTTGGACAACCCAACGGTGGAGGCAGGACCTCTGAAGACTCTGCTCAGATCCCTCGCTAGTCAGAACTCTCACAAACACAGGCATAATGATGGTGAGGACTTGGACTGTTTCTCTTTTCAGATACTGATCCAGTTATGTAAAACAATGAGTGATGCGTGTCTTTGCCCTGCAGTGCGGACAGGTTTCCTCCACCTGGCTGAGGCTTTGGCATATCGCAGAGACACTGAGGTCCCACTGAGGACCATCATCGCAATGCTGAAATCTGGAGACAGGTGTAATGCAGAAGCAGAGCTCATTGGCAAAGGTATCAATGGAGTTATGTTCATGTGAATTCGTTTGAACTGCCTGATATGTGATAAAGATTAGACAATACAATATTTAAGTACTTAATTCGTTACATAGATTATTGTCTTCAAGAGTCATCAAGAAGATCAATCGATTTTAATCCATTTTAACAATCAATTAAATACAGCATGTTGTATAAAATATTTTTTTGTAACTTTATTAGTACTTTTTAATATTTTGAGTACTGTGAATGTGAATTAGGAACAAATATGGTGGTGACCTGGTTGTTAGATTGTGTAAATTAAATCCAAAAGCCACATATTAAATGGCTTCTATAATTCAGTGGATGTGTACCCTCAAAGTTCATTAGCACTAAGGCATGAAAGACGCCTTCAGTTTTAACATTTGGTTTTCTTATATCAAATGCAGTTCAAGTCCAAGATCCATCATTAATTATGCAGTTTTATTATGATTTTCCAGTGTTACAGGGGCTGATGGAGGTGAAGTCGCCATATTTAGAGGAGCTACTGTCTCTGCTGATGACTGTGGGCACACAGAACGGGACCTCTGGCCCGGTTGCAATGGTGATTTCCCTGCTGCTCCAAGAAAGTGAGGAGCGAGCCGTGAAGAAGGAAGTGGATTCTAACAAGTGAGCACCGCAATTCTATTAAAACATTAATATTTGACACGACTAAATAAAAAGCATAGCCGCCTAGGGAAAATAGAAAACCTGCGTCTGCTGCCGTCCGAGGCCTCGTACTTGTAAACTGCTATTGGATTTGGTTCAGGAAGGTTTAATTGGTTTTGCAGCTTTACATTGGCTTTACACATTCACATGCTGTGAAAATCTCTGAATACTTTACAGAGTATTTTTCGGTTTGGTTCTCAGCAACACGGCCAGAGAGGCAGGTACATATTGGAAGTTGCTCATCGCCACAGGCTATGTCTAGAAGTGTGTAGGGATGTCACAAGGAGTGATACTTTGGTGCCAAGTCGATGCCAAAATTCTAAAAATGTCACGGTACCAAACAATACCAACCTACTGCTGCAGGATGGTTGCTGCTTCTGGATAGAGGCAGGCGTACACCTCATGTCCTCGCTCCCCCGCTGAAATGCGCTCGTTTTGCACCGTCACCGGTCAGAGGTTCTTGGGGCCTGTGCAGTGCTTAGGGTTTGTTTGGTTTGCTGTGGAGTTTATGAGACAATTTAAACAGACAGTATTTTTTTTATATTTAAAATTGGCAATGATTCTTAAGATGTCATTATCAAACCATTATGGCCAAGAAATGGAATTAAGGTTTAATATTTTATAGGTCTACCATAAACCTTATTTTGTTAATAAACAAAAAGGAAAGACAAATACAACCAATATATGGAACTTGAACTACGCAACTATTTTGCTTTTTTTTTAATTCTGTAAATTATCCGTTTTCATATCTGCAAACAAATGCAGACACTGTTATTTCTGTGAACAGCTCATATCGTGGTCTGGTTATAATGGGTCTGTGGAAATAGTAAATATTGTGATTTTCCTGGTTGCAGTAAATCTGCTCATTATAGCCTCATTTCATCTTGGACGCACTGTAGATTTCTTTTCTCTGAGGTCTTCAGTAGTTAAACATAAGCACAACTAACCGTTCAGTTCGACCTTTGCCAGCAGCTCTGAGGTGACCAAGTCAGGACTGAGCTCCGGGCTGCTCGTTGATTGGTTGGAGTATCTCGACCCAGAGGTCACGTCGGTGTGTCCGGACCTTCAACAGAAACTGCTGTTCACCCTCAACAAAGTGAGATAAGCATAAATTACCTTCAGCGTATAGGACTGTATCTGCTGCCAGTGCTCAAATGTGTGTGCTTGGAGTCAGTCATGCATCTTATTTCTCTATTTCAGGTACGAGGCACCCCCGCATACAGACCCTATCTTCTGGCCTTGCTCACACATCAGTCAAACTGGTCCACCCTCCTGCAGTGTATCAGTGCTCTTCTCATCAAGCGACGAGACTACAAGTACGACTTCTTATTTTGTTTAACATTCTCCCAGTCATGGTTTGGTGTGATTTCAGTAGATTCAGCATAATGTTCATATTACACAATTTTAGACTCGATTTTCCATTGGTAGACAAAAGACCCAGATTGGAGCCAAATCTGCATTGTTGCATCAGTTGCAAAATCTGGAAGAGTAAGCTACAAACAGCCAATCAAAGCACAGGACGGTTTGAATGCAGTATAAAGCTTGGACATAAGTCGGAGAGTTCTCCTGCTGAGAAATGGTGTTATGTGTGACTCCCTGTCGCTAGTCAGTTGTGTAGTATAAGCTCACAACACCTACAACACTCCCAGAAACAAGGCGGCAAGTTGTTTTGTGTGAACCGCAGAGCAATCCGACAACTTTGAAAGTCGTCTGAACTTGGCATTAAAGTGAGAACTAGTGTTAAATATCCACTTCTCTCTTTTTTTTTTAGATTGGACCCATCATCAGCCCTTGATTTCCTGTGGGCGTGCAGCCACATCCCCCGTATCTGGCAAGGACGTGACCAGAAGATCCCTCAAGTAAGATCAACAGCACACAGTTATTAGATGTGATGATTTTTCCTGCAGTTCTGCTCATGATGACTCATTGTTGACTTATCTTTTCCTCGGTGCAGAAGAAAACGGAGAAGTTTGTGCTGCGACTCAGTTCAGAGGAGCTCATCAGCCTGGTGGACCTGATCTTGTCTGAGTCGGAGCTCAACAGTCGCGACTCACAACATGACGACAGCGTCAGCGTGGACCAGGCCTCCCGCTCCCTCATCCAGTCCCGGCTGCCCCTCCTTCACTCCTACTGCAACGGAGATCTGGAAAACATCAAGAAGGTGTCGGAGTACCTCATCAACTGCACAAAGAAATGGGAGGACAGGTAAGGTGTATGCTTATTGCTTCAATACTCATCTATTCTCGAATCTTCCGTCATTCTCACCCCTCCATTTTCATTCTACAAGTTTCACCAAAGCACTCATTCCATCTATTTGAACACATCTTATTGTTCTTTCTAATTAGCCCCAAACAGTGAAAGTATTTTTTTTTCCCTTCCTGTTATGGTGTGCGGATAAACTTGGGAGAAAATCGCACTAGATTCTCCTTCTCAGTGCAGATGAACTTTCCTCTGTCAGCCACAATGCTGTGGACCAGGGAAAACTCGATAATTAGGTCTATTGGTGTGAAATTAAAACCAGCAGAAGTCGTCTATACTGTGATCTCTTTAAAAGCTCAGTGTATTATAATGAAGCCAAGAGGATTAAGGCTGAAGCTCTAAACTTGCCTGTGTTGTGAATTCCTGCTCTGACTTAGCTGTCAGAGATCAGGGTGCAACTCTTTGTGGAGGCAAACCCTCCTTTCATGAATGTGTCTCTGGTTATTAAACCACTTTAATGAGGAAACTTTGGCCAAGGTCAAGCAAAATTAGCTTCCGAATTACAGTATTTTAAGTACAGCTAAGCTGCCTGGTAAAACGGCTGCTTGTGAAAATATGGCGGGATAAAACCATGTTGAAAGTAAAGGGTTTTGGCCTTGTGTTGAATAAACACATGATTGTATGTGAAGCATTCTTCTTGCGAATGCTCGCTGTCAGATAAGCTGGTGTTTATTCCAATTACACAGCAACTATTGAACGACTCTCTACTCTTGGTCAAGGTCGCTGTAGTTTTGCTGAACATATAGCTGTAATAAACTTTTCAGTCAGTGGAGAGTATAGTGCATCATTTGAGCCTGACACGGGCCTGAGCCAGTAAGAGGATTGTATGAATCTGCAGTGACTCGAAGGCAAATACCTCAGAATTACATTATGCTATTCATGCGCCTACTTTGTATTAATGCACATTAATTATTGTGGCCTCTAGACGGAAACAATAGAGAAGTGTTGGATCGTGCTCTTTAATCTCTGATCTCGTATTAACTCTGGTGATAATCACTTGAAAGAGATGGGAAAATAACTGAAATTCACAAAAGCCAACTGGGAACATAGTCTGCTCCATAATGTTTGTTGCAGTATAGACCAGAGCTCACTTGAGTTGAAAATCTGCAACAAACTTTTCGGAGCTGCACAAAATTGGTCAACCAGTCACTGTCAGTTAAATGGCTTCAGGCTACACAACTCAATAACATCAGGGATTACAGTGTTGATGATTTTGCTGCTAAGCTGTTGGATTTACGACGCACTGTTGAACTGTCCTGAGCCACTAATAACATGTACACACAGTTTACGTCCCTCTCTTGTTTATTCTGTTTTTCAGTTCGATGAATAAGAGGTGCCAGAACTTTCTGCTGCAGATCTACCTGCATTTTCCAGAGGTCATCCAGCACGTCACCCTGCCCGACGGCACCCTGAGCAGCGGAGGAGCTGCGGATGGCAGCAGCTGCAAGGTGAAGATCTCTTACAGGCAATAAATTGAACCGATTATGTTGTGGCACTTAAAGTTTTAAAAAGATATTTCACTTACAACCAGAAGCTTGCTATTCATTATCTTCTTGAGTAAATTTGAGTGAGAGCAGATTGTGTAATTGCTGTGTAATTAAAAACCCAACAGCACCAGCAGCTGTATTGTCAAACAGTTCACTAAATAAAGGGATAACTTAAAGAAGGAACAGGATCTTAATGCCTCCATACATAGGGAGGGATCATTAAATGGTTTGAGTTTGAAAATGATGTGTATCATATGCCACGGCCTTTACGTGTTAGACCACGACCATCAAAACACCGAAGGAGAAAATATATTTTGGAAGAATGATGTGCCATGATGTTATTGTCTTTTTCCTCATTCATGTGCTTGATATTGAATACTATTTGAAATCCCATATTTAAAACCATGACACCACACAGAGTACAGTATTTATTTCCCTTTCCCAGCTCGACGTCCTGGTCCATCGTCTGGTCACTCTGCTCGCTGACGTTGGAGACTCAAAGTCTGTTGAAAACCGCGTGTCTGACGCCAACCTGGCCTGTCGTAAGATGGCTGTGTCGCACCCTGTCCTTTTGCTGAGGTGAAATACGAAAAAAAGAAATATTTCATGCTGTAGTTTTAATCCACAAATTAAGAGATTAACTTCCGCCACAGACGACGATACGACCTGCTGACTTTTTCTCCACAGACACCTGCCCATGATCGCAGGGCTTCTCCACGGCCGCATTCACCTGAACATGCAGGAGTTTCGGCAGCAGAACCACATGACCTTCTTCAGCAACGTGCTCGCCATCCTGGAGCTGCTGCAGCCACTCGTGTTCCACAGCGACCACCAGAGGGCGCTTCAAAACTGCCTTCTCTCCTTCATGAAGGTCCTTCAGGTGGGCGGCTCACAGGCTTTCAGATCCTCACCGGGAGATTCAGGACAGAGATTAGATTCACGGTGTTCCTGTGTGTTTCCTCCTGTAGAACTTTCAGAGGACTCGTTCTCCGTTGGTCTTCATCAACAAATTTCTGCAGTTCACGCAGAAGTACATCACGCACGATGCAGCGGCCGCCATTCCTTATCTGCAGAAGCACTCGAACATATTACAGTTAGTATATCATGGCAATATCCTTTTGTAGGATTCATTTGTGACACATTTTAAAAATTGTTGTATTGCACAGAAGTGGAACTCTGCTGTTTGTCTTTTTAGGAATCTGTGTGCAGAGAACCCGGACCTGGTCCAGCTGAAGTCTCTGCTGGCTGGACTCACGTTGCCAGTGAAAAACTCCTCTGCAGAGGTCGCGACAGAGGACAGAGATGGTGAGCAGCTTTCTCTGAGCACATGGAGTCTTTACAAGTCTATCTAGAACATGAGCACATTTAAAATAGGGTGTTTGTACAGAATCTCATTTCTTCAAGTAAAGCGAATGTAGTTTTATACCGTAATCTCTGGTTACATTTTAAGATACAACCTTAAAGTCATTTTGCAGAGGCATGCATCTTTCTGAATAATTGTGTTTTTTTTCTTTTTTACCAGATGACGTGTCCACTGGTTCCCTTCCTCTCGTCAACATATCTGCCTCCGTCTCACTGAGCGCGGCTGACATGACGATGTACCTGAAAAAGATGTCTAGAGGAGAAGCAGTCGAGGGTAACGAAACACCTCTGCCGAGATGCCACATGTATTAATCCTGTTTCATAATGAGTAATACCTAGTTTCTCTTTTTTTTTTGTTTTTTTGCTATAGATGTGTTGGAGGTGTTGACAGAGGTGGATGATAAGTCGAGGAGGAGCCCAGAGATCATCCAATACTTCATTGTGAGTCATACAAAATAGGCACACACTAAAAACTAGGGTCAAGTGCAGCACCCGTCAGTCTGTAACACGTCCGTCGCCACTCTGTGTTTCTGTTGTTTGTAGAACGATCTGCAGAGACTCATGGTTTCCTCTGAGGAGCTGTGTCGGAACATGGCCTTCAGTCTGGCCCTGCGCTGCATTCAGAACAATCCCTGGTAAGTTTACAGCCGACCTGCAGAGAGCAGGCTGGAGCCGAGCGGGAGTGTGCAGAGATAAACAAAGAAGGAAATAATTAAATAAAAAGAGCTTCAGCAAATTTAAACCATCAGTTGTTTTCACCAGTTTCTATAAATTAGGTAACGTGTGTGTTTTCTTTGCTACAGCCTGGCAACAGACTTCCTGCCAACGTTCATGTACTGTATGGGCAGTGGGAACTTCGACGTGGTACAGACCGCGCTCAGGAACCTTCCAGAATACGTGCTTCTCTGTCAAGGTAAGAGCAAACACATGTCTGTCTTGGATTCTATGTGACCAAACAATATAAATGTATATTTTTTTATTAGTAAAAAGTTATTTAATAAAGCCTGCATCATTGTCTCACACATCCACCGCAGCATTGTTTCAAGTACTTTCTTTCTCCTCCCTCCAGAACACGCAGACATCTTGCTCCACAAGGCGTTTGTTGTGGGTATCTACGGACAAATTGACACCAGTTCAATGATCGCAGAGTCGATGAAAGTCCTTCACATGGAGGCGACAACATAACAGTAAAGCTCACAACTTCCAGTGTCGCTCTCTGCCATCGCTGCGTTCCAGATTTTTTTTAGTTTGATGTCATATTAATTTGATCACAGCAGATAATCAGACTCTCTTCAGTTCTTCACATTAGATGCTTCTCCAGCGAGCTACAAACTCCCAGTAGGGGAATAATTTAGTGACTTCAAAGAATGTATTAAAACTCCCTCTAAATTAGTTGAACATGTAATAATTACAACTATGAAATTACTGCAATGAAGTCACAATTAGTGCATTCATTACTTCGTGAAGGAAGTAAATTATTTTTTTAATTGAAAATGTGACAATACATTAACCAGTAATGAAATTTGAACAAAAACCGGAACATTATTAAGTGATGTTATCATAACATCCAACGTATAATACACAAAACTGGGTAAATAATAGAAATGGTTGATTTAATTATTAAAAATTGTAATGTATTTATATTACAACTATATTCATAATTGTATTATAGTTCAAGTTGAAGTTAAATTTAAATTATTATAAACATGTATTTTTAGAGGGAGATTTTTACATTTCTAGATGGTCAGCAATTACATCATTCAACAATACAAGTGTCATTGTGTATTAACACTCATATTTTTACCTTTGGCTTAATTTTTTTAATAGTTTCAACATGAAAAATCAACCGCTACAATCACATCTTACTTTGTGTAAATTTTTTTAATAAACATCTAAAACATTTCCATCAAGATCCATCTTGTGAGTTTTATGAGCAGTTTGCTAAATATTGAGACAGCGAACATGTCAAACAGTTGACTGCAGCTGCCAAACAACTTGAAAAGTATTAAAAATGAGAAGCAAAAATACAAAGACAATGTCATTGCGCAAACTAATAACAAATGAAATGAATTATTTAAAATCATGATGCTTTCCTGTTACTAGAACACTGTCTGTGAGCTGCATTGATATGAACTGAATAAAATATTTTTTGGGGAAATGAAGTTTCATTCATCTTTATCTGACAGGAAGTGAAAAGGGCAACACAATCCTGCAGTGGAGACATTTTACAATGTTTAATTGAGAAGCAATTTAATGTTGAAAAAAAAAAAAAAGGAGAACACAAATTTCCGAAAGAACCAATTATTACCTTTCAAAGAAACATGTTAGCACCTCGAACGAGATTGAAGGGGGTAAAATAAATGGAAGGTTTGCAGCCTTTCATTTCATTCCAATAATTCTTGGATCCTGATAAAACTGGAAACAGCTGTCATTGGAACGCTCGCTCTTCACTGGGGTGTAACAGACAAATTAAAGGCGTGATGCACACGCTGTGATGGAAACCATTTTGCCATGAAAGTGTGAGTTGTTTTGCCCGCTGCCTCTGACTTGGTGTGGAAACCTCTTGATGGAGTCACAGGGATTTGTTAAACAGTGTGTGGGCATGCTGGTAAACTAGGAAAGTGGACGTCCCCATTCATGGTAAATTAACCGTAGCGGTAATTGTTCAATCACACAGACCGAAGGCTGCTTTGAAGAAGCAATGTGGGTAGAGGCCATTTTGCAACGACAACCGCTTCTGGTGTTTTGTTACATAGGAGGAGATGAAGCCACCGAGGATCCTCGGTGAGGGCGAGACATGCCCACACTGGTGGGTCAGTGGAGTCTGTCGATCAGAAATGGAAGGTGTGAGATACGCAGGCTGGATGTGAACAACTGAAAGCAGGTTATTGCAGCCTTGAGGTTAAAGTGACTCAAAATGCCTGTTTAAGGTCATTTACAGGATTTAAATAAATATGACACCCAGTAGAGCTCATAGCTCCACTAAAGCCAAACAATCCTACACATGATAGTTCTCATAGGGTTTTTTAAAAGAAAAAAGAAAATAACCAAAGGATTTATTTGCCATGAAACTGTTAATTAAAGTGAAAAAAAAAATCCTGAATCCACCTTTTAATCCACACCGGCACCAAAACATCTTGGCCTCCATCCCTGAGCCCTTCTCTCCTCAAGTTTGGAAATTGGGTTCAGTCATTTTGCCGCATCCTGCCAACAATTACACAAACAGACACACAGACACAGGTGAAAACATAATAAATGTTTCTTTGTCTTCTGAATCATCACAATCCCTCTTTATGCATATATTATATCATCACACATCTGTTGCTATAACTTGTCCATATGTACACCTAATAGCGTCCTACCCATCATGCACCCTACCTGCTGATCTCTCAATGCCGTCTCAGTCCGCGATGTGTTAATTGCACCTGTATGGTGTCCTATAACTAGCCGAAAGCTCTGTTTATGGTTATCAATCAACTTACTGCACAAGTCCTAGCAGCCTGGGCTCTTGGTCAGGCGCCAGCATCCTATTGGCTGGGCAGCAGTGAGGCGGAACAGGGATGAGTGACAGCTAACGAGGAGGGGGGGGGGCCGCTGCACTGCTGAATGGTCTTGACGGACCACTGACAAGTTAACAACCCTGCGCCCTTTATTCATCGCACCAGGCTGGGTGCCCTGGCATGCAGCTGCTCATTTGTCCGTACGGAACATTTTTGAGTGCAAGGTTATAAAATATCTTCACAGAACTTATTTATTGAGGTAACCATGGAAACTAAGTAACTAACAAGTGCAGTTCTGATGACTGTACTTTACCTAAAGCAAGTTTGCACTTCTTCTCCCCAACATTTCAAAGGGAAGTATTTTACTTTTTAATTCCACGACACGTTTCTGACAACATTAGCTACTTTTCAGATTATGATGTCACATAGGAAAGCAAATATTAAACACGTTATATACAATATAGTGTTAAAAAGTATCACATTCCTCTGCCAACAGTCCCCTTCAATTAAATTCAGGAATAATTCCCTGGGGAAATTGTGAAAATGTTGTAAATCTCACAATGTTACAGAATGTGGCCTTTTTTTTTTTTATCCCATTCCCCATCCCCCCCCAAGTTATCATTGAAATCAATTTAGTTGTTGTTTAATCTTTCTTACACACAAACAAACATAGAAACCAACCAATAAACAATGGGACATGGGTGAAAACATCACCTTGCTGGCAGTAATTAAACCAGTCTCACTCTGATCTAATCTCCTTTATAATCTAATCCTAATCTTGTGAATTTTGGGAGTTGGCTTGATGAAGAGAATTTGAAGGTGTCAGGAGTCTGAAGGATGCCAGGGTGTCCACAGCAGAACTTTTACTACTTTCTCTTCTACGCTTTCTTGTAATACTTTCTGTTCGTACTTTTCCAGCATGTTAAATTTTGAATTCAGGGCATTTACTAGAGAGTTCTAGTTTCCGCTCATAGTTTATTGGTACTTTAACTTGAGTAAAGATTCTGAGTATTCTTCCAGCACTGACCACGAGGCCGTTGAAATACGATGTGACATATTGTGTCAAAGTGCAGACATGCAGTTGCCAGTGCGTCTTCCTGCCCATGTGAAAGTGGACAGTGAGCGGACAGGAATGCGGCCAGCGGAGGCTTCGTCTTGGTTTCTCTCTCTGCTACACGAGGGGCCCCGATGTGCCGCTACCTGCCCGTGCACATCTGTCTGCTCTCCGTCTTCCTCTCAATGGCACCCTCGCCTTAGATCATCTCCTCTTCCTCCACGCTTGAGTTGCACTTGGCTTGCGTGGAAAAAATGTGGACCGTCTCTCGCCTCTCTTCTCCCTGGCACTTTGATGTCTCAAGTGTGATTGCTCTTGGATTGTGGCCGCTTTCCCTTGAAGGTTTTGACATGAAAAGCACACTGGGCTCTCAGGTTTATCCCATGGCCAGTGATCCAGGACTAAAACAATCAGGCCGCTCACTGCTGGATACTATTACCAGGGAGAGTGAGGCACCGAGCATAGGGGTCTCCTCAGCCGTGAAACACACTTTTCTTCCTAGTTACAAACACATTTTAGGTGTGTTGATTGAATTATACCAATCCACACTTCCATTAATAGATTTTAGTTTGAATCTTTTGTGCAGGTTGACACTAAAACACACTTGCAGGCAGCTGGAGAACATATTCCTGGTGTGTTTGCACAGAGGTGGACGACCGAAATGATTCAACATTTGTAATGAATTAAATAGAAATGAGGCCAGTAATTGCAGTTAAGATTGACCCAATCTGATAAGTATGATAATGTGACATGCCATTAACAGCCGCCGCATAAGTGACAACCCTTAAGCTTCACTTACACTTTCATTAAATATTGATCTTATCTGTGCTCATTTATGTTCCAGGCTGCAAATTACACCAGATAGATATATTCCCATGACAGCGGAGCTGACGATAATCATCCGTCTCCGTGTGACATTTGGCAGAACTGGTGTTTTATGAACTGAAGTGCCACCGTCGTGAAAGAGAAAGAATAATACTGTGCTGTGTTGATGATCTCCATTATGTCAGATTGTATCTTGTCACACTGAGGGCAGAGTGTGACAGTTAATCCACTTCAGCCGTGTCTGTCACGGAGAAGAGGTTAAATAGCCCATTTGAATTTTATCTCTCTGAAAAGTGTTTTCTGCAACAAATTCAAAGATGAGAAAACGGTACTGTATCTCAGTGTAAACCCTGGTAATATGTGCATATTTATACAGCTGCAAGCAGCTGTTTTCAGCAAGAACGCCCTTAAACCCACTGTACGCTGAAAATGCTCAGCACCAAACAGTAGACGCACACAGAGACTCACTGCTGAGGATTTAGCAGCTGAAGAGCCACATATTTCTCAGCGAGGAAACGGAGCTGAACAGAAAACTATTTGTACAACGTTTATCATGTCAGATTAAAAGATAAGGATACGTCAGTGTTGTGTTCAGTGTTGTTTTGAAAAAAAAAACTCTGTTATGACAGCTTTAAAGCTTCTCCTCAGATGTTCTCTATTTGTATTTACTTGGTTTTCCCACAAAAAATCAACTTGCTCCACATCACAGTTGTATGACTTTGATTGTGTGATAGTAAAAACTGTTTTGACGCCAATCGTGTTCCAGTGTGAAACTGAGTTTTTTCTAAATCCTACAGTTACAATATTCACTCTCTGTTAGCCTGTTTTGTTGATTTGCTCTGTTACTCTCTGCACCTCTGTCCATCCTTGGAGAGATGCTTACTTGCATTAAGAGCCGAAGATGTTGCCCCTTGTTAAGCTTTATGGGCCAAATTAAGATTTGTGAATAAGTGGCTTTACAAACAGAATTTGATTGATTTGGTTGGTTGAGCTGATAATTACCCTGCACTATGTCATCAGCAGTTAGTCTCCATATGTGTCTGTCTGCTGTTTGCTGCTGAAAATATTGTACAGTGGGTTTAAGAGTATTTTTGCTAAAAACAGCTGCCTGCAGCTGTAGAATATATAATTTGCACATAAGATCTATTTCTCAAACTGTTACCAAGGTTTATACTGTGTTATATATGTTTTATATAGTTTTCTTCCATTGGACTTTACTGAAGAAAACACTTATTAGTGGTTGAATGTGCTTCCATGATAAAATTTCCTTCTTCAGCAGATGAAAGTGAAAACAGCCTTTTACAGTCTGCACACGCTTCATTCTGCAAAGTGAAGTCCAATCATCCAAGTAAAGTAACAATAATCAAAACACACGTTTCAGCAGAGAGGGACTTTAAGTGTTTCCAAATGTGAGGATCTCTGTTATCTGAGATCAAGCGACACACCTTTGAAGGGGAGTTCCGATGTCCCTTTTCCTCCAGTTTGCAGTGAGTGAGTGAATGAATGCAAGCTGAAACAAGTCAAGGTTTGCTGAACCGACAGATAAAACACATTATGTCCCTGCTGTCGAAGGTCTGCTAATGATACGATGATTGCCATTTTAGCTGTGGATCTCCAGTGTTGCCTTATCATCCCGGGGAGCTAGACATACCTGAGCGAGCAACAAGGCCGGGCATTAGCCGACACCATTGTTGTCTTAATGCCTCCTTCAATTATCTTTAGAGCAACTACTGTCAGAACCTCCCCCACCGGTTTTTCACCAATTTTGTGTCTGATTAT